GCCGCAGCGTCACGCGACGTCCAAGCCGTCCTGTCAGCGCGCTGACGGGCAAAGCGAGCCGTAGCAGCATCGTCAGGGGCAGGACCTAAAGCGGCAGGCTCGGGGGGCTCGGGGAGGTCACCAGTAGCGTGCGACCAGAGGGTCTCGCCCCCCTGGACTTGACTCTCTAACAGACGGCGAGCGCGAAGAAGCCAGACGGAAAAGTCAAGAGGTCTACCGTCAGCGTCGAAACGAAGAACTCGCGGAGTCGCCATAGCGAGAACTAACGCGAACGAGCAGGCGAGTAACAGCAGGAGGTAAGAGGCAAATTAGGGTTCAGGTGGGGGGGGGGGGGGGGACTTAGTCGCAGCGGAAGAACGGGCTAGGGCGACGGGCCAGGGCGTAGGGTCGACGGGACGGGGGAAAGGGCGGGCGCGATGCGACGGGGCAGGGCGACGCGACGGGGCAGGGCGACGATACCATGTCAAAATGAAGAATGGATGATGCATTGATGTTGGTTGGGGTACATATAGCTAACCCTAAGTTTTGTACCCCCTAAGACAAACCTCACTATAGGCTACAACATTTGACAACAACACCGCACGTCACTGCGCCGTATTCACCCCGCTGGCACGAATCTTGCCAATTCGTTTGGCATATTCCGTCTGACAGCTCTGACAAGTACTTGAAATTCGTCTGAAACGTAAGACGGAGCTACAACTTTCGTCTGAACATCAGACAAGGAGCCAGGACCCAGTCTCAACGTCAGACGGGCCCTAGCACTAAAGTTAGCCCTGGATGCCATCCAACCTCAGAGGAGCAATTACCAGTAGTGTAGTTCCTCGCCTTTCCATCAATGCTTTGGGTACAAGTACACCAGGGCTCTGGTTAGGATTTGAACCGCTCTTCCACGTAAGGCCAACACTCCGCTTTCACTTTTTCTGTAAGGGTAGATCACAAGAACTACTTTTTCTGGTAAGGGTGCAAACATAAGTAACTGTGCCTACAAATAAATTAATTTTCATATATAGATCAGCTGTTGGTGTGTAGTCAGTTATGGCGAGGAGTTCTCTTCGAAGCATCTGGGATTGAGATCCCACGTGAGCAAATTTGAAGGGAAGTGCATTTTACTCGAGTGATTTTGCTATACTCCGTTAGATCTAACTCAATATCATCAGTGTTACTACACCACCTAGCTCTGAAATATCAGTGTAGTATAACCGAACACTTTTTCTTGTAAGGGTAAAAAAACCGACCACTCTGATAAAAAAGGGTGCATATTCAAACCCAGCCTTATAGTAAGGGTCATAAGGGTGAATCACCCTGTTAACCAGAGGCCTGAAGTACCGTCTGGCCCCGGATAGTAGCGCATATGCGCTTATAATAAAATCTCGGTTTTTTTAGGGGGCGCTTGTAATCGAGTAACGGCCATAAGCGCATGCGCTTATATGATGACAAATACAGATTTTTACTTCTAGGGTACCAAAATGTACATTTCATTGTTGCCATTTGAACCGAGTCGAACTAATGTAGCGTCGCAAAGCAGAATCGCGCGCAAGCGATTCTGCTTCCCGCACACAGAGCCAATGTCACGTCAATCTGCACGCATGCCAGCACAACGCGACTGGACTCGCATCCAGTCAGGTCTTCGAGAGTCAAACTAAGCGAGAATGAGATAGGACTCGCTGCAAATATGAAATTCGTTACCATTCCGAACACGACTCTATAGTAAAAGTGTATGTGCTCTTATAATAAATCAGGGTTTCACAGGGGGGGCGCTTATAATCGAGGATCGGCCATAAGCGCCATGCTCCAGATAGAAGCGCCGGCGCCTTTAATCGGACGGCGCTTATATCCGGGGCCATACGGTACACCCTCCAGGTTGCTTTTTTAGGTGTTTACCGTACTTGAGTATGTATTGATGTCAGAGCTTCTGTATTATCAACCAGCAGGCTGCATCTAGCATCAACCTAAGGTACGTGCATTATACATGCCGTGGCAGGCAGCACAAGAGTTGGCCAATGCACCTGCTGCCTGCACCATACTTCCACTTCCCTACTCCGTTATTCCCAAAACTGCCTATTTTTTAAGCAGTGGCATGGTTTGTGCAATGAGCCGCTCACCCCTCAGCAACTGCCGCAGCGACTTCGCAAACCCCTTGCTCACCCTTCCCCCCCCCCCCCCTTCCCCAACCCCCCTCCCCCCCCAATCAGCATCATGGATTCTCGCCAAACTCCAAAGGAGCCCCACGAGAAAAACAACAACTTGCAACAGTTTCCAAGCCTCGCTCGGCTACAGTCAGAAGGCATGGCCCCATGAGCTGCAGCAGAGCCGCGGCCCCATGCGCCCCATCAGCCATCGCATGTGTTCTGCACCGTGGTGCACCCCTGCTCGTCATCCAGGCAATTCCCCGTCACCAGTAGCTTCGCCGGGCGCGCGTTCGGGCAGATGCCCTTCACACGCGGCGACCCTGTGAACAAGTTGTTTCGGGCATCCAGAAAGAACTTGCTATTGGCTCCGAGATACGGCTGGGGCAGCGGGCCGGTGAGCTCGTTATTAGCGAGCACAAGGCGCAGCAGGAAGGAGAGGGCGTTGAGGCTCTCAGGGAGATCGCCCGTGAAGCCATTGTTGCTCAGATCCAGCGCTGTCAGATTCACCAGCGATCCGATTTCATCGGGAACAGCGTCGCTGAGGCTGTTGTTCTGCAGCTGCAGCGTCTTGAGGTTGGAGATGTCACTAACCTCGGCAGGAATCGAACCCGTGATCTCGTTAAACCCCAGATACAGCCCCTCCAGGCTCGGAAGCCCGCTCCAGGTGACGTCACCCAGCGTGATGCTGAGCTGGTTGTTGGCCAGGTTGAGCTGGCGCAGGTCGCTCATGAGGGAGATTTCCGTCGGGAGGGAAGTGATGCGATTGGACGAGAGGTCCAGCGTGTCAACCGTGGCGGAAGACGCGGGGAAGGTGGCGGGAATGTCCGAGAAGAGGTTTCCCGAGGCCGAGAAGGTTAGCGCGCCCGACGCGAGCTCCGGAAGAGCGGCGGGGAGGGCGGTGAAGAAGCACCGGTCCAATTGGCCGAACTGCAGATTCGTCAGACTCGAAAACGCGTCCGGGATTGGTCCAGAGAAGTATGAGTCGCTGACGTTGAGAACCACCAGATTGGCCAATCCGCTGATGGCGGACGGAAGCGCGCCGCGGAGGAGCGTCTTGGAAACGTCGAGGAAGGTCAGCTTGGTGAGCGTCCAGATTTGATTCGTTCCGCCGTAGAACGTGTTGTTGCTTAGGTCGAGGCGCTTCAGCTTCGGCAGCTTCGATAAGTACCACGGAATCGGGGCGACGATCTCGTTATTAGAGAGAATAAGCGTGTCGAGATTGGTTAGGTTTGTGAGCGCGATGGGGATCCCCGCGGTCTTCCAGCGCATGCTGGCGGAAGTGAAGTTCAGGCGGAGCACGTCCCCCGCGGAGTTGCATGTCACGCGGAGCCAGTTGGCGCAGGGCTTCCCCGCGCCCCACGTGCTGCTCCCCGTGAAATACCCGAACGACGTCTTGAGGCTCAAAAGCGCCGCCTCTTGCGGCGGCTTGATGGTCTGCGCGCGCGCGGGGGTGCTGCCGGAGAGGCTAATGACGAGGAAAACGGAGAGCAGCAGCAGGAAAGGGAAGCGATGTCTGTTCCCGTGGGGATACGAACTTCTGTCACCACTGCTGCGTGAATGCTTCATGGCTAATGCTTTGGCTATAGGCTGGAAAGCGGCGGAGGTTTGACGAAAGGACGGAGAGAGTCCGTCGGCGCGAGATGATTAGAGATACAGTGACAAGCTTGTCGAAACTACTAAGTCACGCAAAAGTCGTTAAGAAGTAGAATATTCGAGCGCAGCCCGATATATAACATTGATTCGGGCAAGGTGAGTGGAGGAGAGGTGCCGAAGCAGGAGAAGCGACAGGGGAAGTGGAAGGGGGTGCATCAAAGGGAAGAGCAGCCTTGGTGATTGTACGGCACGGTGTTAGGAGGCGGGCGGAGCCTGGAGGCGCGCGAGACGAGTGGATGTGTAGGCGGCGTTGCGGAGGACGCGTTGAAAAGCGACAGGATTTAGGGTGCGATGTGTGCTAATCAGAATGAGTCTCGAATCGTATGTGAGGGAATATTAGGGTGAATGTCTGGGGTTGAGGGAAGAGAAATGGGGCTGGTGGGGGAAGGGGACGCGCAAACTCGTGCGCTCGATGTATGGCATTTCCCCTGGCACCCGAACCAGGTTCTCCGCACATGGGCTCCGCAAATTCGTTTCACCCCGCACCGCTTGGTTGGTACGAGGGGACCGCTGCAAGTCCGCCTGACCACCTGCGCCCAGGGGGGAAAGGGGAGAGGATGTGAGTGTTGAAGTCAACTCGATCTAACCAAGCGGCGGCTCGGTGCCGCCAGACGAGCCTTTCTGGCTTGGCTCGGATGACTGCGCCGCTGTGCTGTTTGCGAGGGCAGGGCAATGGGTTTTCGTTCTTGTCTCGTAGTGCACGTGGGACTCAGGCCCATCCGGATCCAACAGTAGGGGTCGTAACTGGAAATTGCGGTAGGCGTGAAAAACTCGCTAGTGACTTTCCGGTACTACATAGTAAAGAGAGATAATTAAATTTCTACCTTCTGTACCCCTAATTCTTCTCGTCATGAACATACGGTAACCAATTATAATTTGATTGTTGTGCACGTTGACGTGCTCTTGATTCATGACTCCAACCTTCTCCATTTCGTGATTGAGAAGTAGACACTAAGGCAAGAGCACAACAAGAGCAGGTCTCAAAGAGAGCCTGTCTCAAAATGTGTAGGTTGAGGGTACCACATGGTCATTTAGGATGTACATATGGTATTATATCTTGTCTAGACACTTGGTCAACTATTACTGAGCCTTCCTAACCTAGAAACTCCGCTTAGCTGTATTTCTTTATTTCCAATCACCATCTGGAATTTAACCCCTCATCTGTTGAGGTCTTAAGAGGCTGCTCCCCAGCCCCATCAGCCTACCCATCTACCTCAGCTACCTCGCGCACACGCGCTGGTCGGTGGAGCAGTCCGTGGTGTCATCAAGGCAGTTCCACGCCACACGCAGCCGGTTCGGCCGCGAGATGGGGCACACGTCCCGCACCAGGGGCGACCCCGTGAACGAGTTGTTCCGCACGTCCAGGTAGAACCCTGGGTCCGCCCCCAAGTACGGCTGCGGCAGCGGCCCAGCGAAATTATCACTGATAATCACCAGCCGCGTCAGCGACTGCAGCTCGCTGAACCCAGCAGGAAAATCCTGCCCATCGCCCAGCTCTGTGTTGAGTCCGATGTCCAGGGAGAGCAGGTCCGTCAGCAGCGTCAGCTCGTCGGGCAGCGACCCTGTCAGCAGGTTTGTGTGGAAGTGCAGGTGCCTCAGCGCCGTGAGCGCGGCTAGGTCCGTGGGGACGGTGCCGGTGATGGCGTTGCGGCCGAGGTACAGCTCCTCCAGCGCCACCAGCTCACTCCACGCGATGTCCTCCAGCGGCGTCGTGATGCGGTTCACCGCGACGTTGAGGATTTTCAGCTCCGTCAGCAGCGCGATCTCTGTGGGGAGCTCCGCGAGCAGGTTCCCCCGGAGGTTGATGCTGAACACGCCCGCGGCGGACGCGGGGAAGGTGATGGGGATGCTCATGATGAGGTTGCTTTCCGCGGCGAAGGTGAGGTTGCCCGGGTCGAGCTCGGGGAAGGCGGGCGGGAGCTCGTTAAAGAAGCACCCGCTGAAGTCGCTGTATTTGAGCTTCACGAGGTTGCTGAACGACGCGGGGATGGCGCCGCGGAAGTAGTTGGACGACACGTCGAGGTACGCGAGGTTCGTCAGCGCGCCCAGGCCCGCGCCGAGCGGCCCGACGAGCAGATTGTGGGAGATATCTAGGTACGTGAGCTGATTTAATTTCCAGATTCTGCTCGAGCCGCTACCGTAAAAGCGATTCAGCTGAAGGTTGAGAGTTTTTAGGGAAGTGAGGGTGGAGAGGACGGTGCTGATTTCGGCGGTGATGCTGTTGTTGTAGAGGCTGAGGAAGGCGAGCTTCGTGAGCACGACGAAGCTGGGCGCGATGCCGACGCCCGTGGCGCGAATCATCGCGTTCGCGAGGTGGATGTGCGTGACGTCACCTGCGCTGTTGCACTGCACGCGCTGCCACGTGGAGCAGTCCGCGCCCGCCTTCCATGTGGAACTTCCCTTGAAGCTGCCGTACGCGCTCTTGGCGTTCAGCATCGCTGTCTGCTGGTACGGTTTAATCACTGCGGCGTTCGCGTAGAAAGGGGAGGACGCGAGCAGGGACATTAAGAGGACAACGACAGGAATGTTTCGACCCATCTTGTCAGGCTAGAATTATTTGTCGACGAAAGAAAGAAGCTGCTTTGACAAATCGGTCGATTTGGATAATCGGAAATGAAAATAACAAGAATCTGGAACAGCGAGTTGTTTTGTACATCTGGGAGGGAACAAAATGAGATGGAGAAATGGAAGCGCTTATTGCTTGGGGTGCTTGGAGGAGAAGGCATGGATCCCCGCGGGAGGAGGGGGGAACCAGGGGGGTATGGGGGCAGTTTTGGGTGTACGGACGTTCGTTCGGGGAAGATGGCTTGCTGGTTTGGTACTCTTCCGGACCCGCTGATTGGTTTTTCATTTGCCAGCAAGCTCGTATAGCCTGGTCCGGGACCTTGAAACTGGTTAGGAGTTTCCGAGTTAGCACCCCTATGTGAGCCATTCGGCTCGGTCAGCTTGGTTCGGGATTCCTCCGCTAACTTGTGCTTCCAAGCGTGCTTCCATCCACGTATGAATGAGCTGGTTTTGAGCTGTCTGACCAGCTTGCCTCTGGTGGAGGTCGGGGCTGGTTTGGTGAGGCGAGGCAGAGCTCCTGGAACCGCCGCCGACCTCCTTTCCCCTTCAAGCCGCAAAATTAATGTACACAAGATGCCCAACCCCTGCACGCGAAATTGCCTCGCACGTTCCAGAAACCTTGCACACGAAGGTTTTTTCCCGGGCAGTTGCACCCACGTTACAAGCACGTCAACCAATACGAACCACAGAAACAGAAGAGACCGAAGTCAAACAGTCAACGGTGAGTTACAAAATTTTGCTATAAGCCCTTTTTGCCCGACGCGAATTGACGAAACCTCCACGAAATGCATGAATCACTTAAGCGCCCCCTTCACAAGGCAACCTTGGGTTAGTCAAACGGACATCGTGTGTACTCGAGCGCTACCAGAAAGCGGCTGCATTGTCGTTTTCTGCTGCCAAAACTTGACTTCAACAGCACGATAAAGAACATGAGATAAGCAGCCTTAAATTAATGTCGAAGCACATTCAAAACTGAACAAACCATGCTCTCCCAAAAGTGACATCGCATCACTCTTTCACCTACACCACCTGCAATTCCACCTGATCCCCCTGGCAGATCCACACGATGTAACTCCCCCACCCAACACCCACCTTGCGACTACACACCGACCAAAAATGTTCGATTCAAACTTCCTTAAAATCCCCATTGTCCCACCATACCTTCTTGCCCCCACACAAACCACTCCCCACCCCACTACCTGTTCCCAACCTGTACATCCGCACAAGGTGGTTCCTCCTCTCCCTCCTCTTGTTCATCCCGTACAGACACGACCTCCCCTGGTGTACGCACGCACACCACACCACACAACTCCACCCTCCACACATTGAATACAGTACAGAAAGGCACAGCAACCTTCAACCGGAATCGGGACATGACACCACCCAAGCACCCCCTAATCGCCGCTAATTTGCAGTGAGTCAGTACAGTACCTAGTAACTCTTTGGCATCGCGTAGAGACACTGGCGTGACCCTGACGGTTCTTGTCGTGAGAACCCACGGACCAAGTGTCTCCGCTAGCCATTATGCGTTACATGTGGCGGCAACCTGCACTTGATGAAGCTGTCTGAAATGAATTAACGCGCGCTCGAACGTTGCCGCAAGCAGCTCGAAGTCGACATAGCGTTCCATATCCTCATGAACCGCCCCTTACCGCTCCGCATTACCAGAACCGCGCCGCATTGTCGCCACCATGCATTTAATCTACACCCTCTTCCTCCTCTTCTTTCTCCCCTCACCTTCCGATCGCCTGGTTTCGTCAGTCAAGATCAAGCCATCGCAGGAGGACGCGTTATTAGCTCTCAAGGGTGCTTATAGCGGGTTCACTGGCTCCACTTCATGGGCGAAAGGCGCCGATTGCTCGAAATGGATCGGCGTCGCGTGCGGTCCCGCGGGAAACGTTCTCAAACTCGCTTTAAACAGCTCCGCGATAAAGAGCCCTGTCGCGGGAATACACTCCAGCTTATCGGGTCTGTCGCATCTACAGATGCTGAACCTCGCGAATAACGCCCTGCTCGGCCCGCTCACGACGACTCTCTCTAAGCTGACTCGCTTGCAGCATCTAGACCTTTCGAGCAATCTCTTCAACAAAAACCCTATCTACATCTGGAGTCTCACGCAGCTTACTTACCTCGACATCTCCAAAACACTCGTGAGCGGCCCGCTTTCGCCGTCCATCGGCGCGCTTACCAACCTCAAGGTTCTAAATGTGTCCAATACCTACCTCTCGGGAGCGATTCCCGACGAGTTCAGTAGCCTCGTGGAGCTGCAGTTCGGCCATTTCGACCGATGCTTCTTCACGGACCTGCCGGCTATGTTCCCGGAAATAGACGGCAGCGCGTCTAATCTGACGTTCTCGGCAAGCGCGAATCTGTTAGCCGGCATGCCCATCACTTTCCCCGCGTCGGGCGCAGGCGTCATCGCGATGGACTTGGCGGGGAACCACATCGCGTCGCTCCCGACGGAAATCGTGCTAATGAGCGACCTCACGAGCCTCAACCTTGCTGGGAACGGCGTCGAGGGACAGATGGCGGACTATGACTGGCCGATCCTCGAGAACATCGAAGGGCTGTTCGTCGGGCGGAATAGGCTAGCAGGCGAGGTCCCCGTGTCTGTAAGCACGCTCACGAAGCTCAAGTACTTCCATTTCGGCGCCAACGCGCTCAACGGTTCCTTGCCTGAAGAGCTGGGTAACCTGTCGGAGCTCCTAAGCTTGGACCTAAGTGGTAACGCGGACCTAGGAGGCTATTTTCCGGTCAGTATCAACGACCTGCCGAATCTGACCCGGCTGGTGCTCTCAGGAGACAGCTTCACGGGGCCGCTGCCGCAGCCGGCGCTGGGAGCCCTCAGCACCTTTGTTCTGGACGTGCGGAACAACTCGTTCTCGGGGTCGCCGATTATCCATGGTGTTTGCCCCGCGGATTACCCCACGCGGCTGAAGGTGGAGGAAAATTGCTTGGATGTGCTGCCCGACTGTGAAACCACCCAGGCCGTGTGCTCCTGACGGCTGTGTGCTGTTGACTGAGTCGTGTGCTCCGTTTTGTGTATTTTGTATGTAGGAAGAGGCAGGGCTGCTGAAGGTGAAGAGAGGCGGGATCCCTAAGGGGGAAGAGGCGGGATTGCTAAGGGGGAAGAGGCGGGGCTGCTGCGGGGAGAGAGAGGCGGGGTTGCTTTGGGTGGAGAGGCAGGGCTGCTGTGGGGGAAAGAGAGGGGCGGCTGCTGCAGGGGAAGAGAGATTGTTGAGAAATGAGAAGAGGGATTGTTGTTGGGAAATGAGGAGTGTGGGGGGGAGAGGAGTGCCTGCTGTGCATGGGAGAGGAGGTGCTGCTGTGAGAAAAGAGAGCAGTTGTGGAGCCACAGGTGGGGGCCTTGCTGTGGGAGAAGTGGTGGTTATGAACTTTGGAGGCAAAATGGCATGGAGGGATAGTGGAGACAACCTGGAGTGGGCCTGGGTCGGAAAGAGGGCAATGCTGGAGTAGTGCATGTGGCAGCAGCTGAAACCAATTACCACTGCCGAAAAAAAGAGCTATCTGCATCAAATTAGGAGCATGGATGGATAGTGAAGCAGTCAGCATTGGGGCAATGCATTATGTGCTTTTATGTATCATAGTATATGGAGGGCCCTTCTGATGATTGTGTTATAAAAACGTCTCATCCCAAAAAGAATGGGGACTGATATAGAGAGTCACAACAATAGACATTAACTACAGTATGTTGTAGTAATGAAATTGCGAAAGAAATGTTGGATCTGTGCACATGAACCGCGTCGCAATCGCACGTAAGCACACTGAGATGCGCATTGCGATATTTGCGGCCTGGAGTACCTACCACGGTTCGACCACATTCATTCTGATGTCAAGGCACACTTCACGTGCCCCAATGTTCACGGGGCTACTCGCACCGCCAAACATCGCAAACCTTTCCAGCGACAGTTTCATGCCCGTGTAACGAACGAGATGCTATTGATGGGATTTGCGGAAGCCGATTGGTCATCCAGGCAGCAAACTTTCTTTCGCGAGAATATGCCTGTTTCGTTGGCGTTACCAGATTGAGGGGAGTGTGCAAGTGGAGATGCGCGAGCGACAATAGAGTGGAAGGTGTTTCTGGCGACGGTGTACGCCTCCCTGCATCCATGCAGCAAAACTGTTGCGGCCAACTCGAGAAAGGTGGGATGACGTGAAAAACGCTTGAGAGTTTGCGAGGAAAAAATCCAGGGCGTGCCTTCAGTGAAGTGGTTTACGCGCTACCATCCTACCCATCTCTCTGGCCATAGTGTCAACGTTTGTCTATCACTCACACGTGCCGGTTAGGATTGAAGTCGCCACTAGTGAGCCGCTTATTCTGATGCGCTTTCAGAGTTTAGGGTGAAACTCTGTTCGGTCTTTCTAGATTTGGCTAGTAGCGATAGCTTGGAACCGGTTGCAGTCGTGCTTCGGAGGACTCTTTCTCCTTAAGCGCTGCGCTCATCAGTACTGCCAATCTTTTTAATCGGCCTGTTGTAGACTCGCTTCACAGTCTTTCGCAGTGGCGGACTGCAAACGCACATGAAAAGTATTTCCGCAAAAATACCATGAAAACGTTCGTAAAATTGGTGATCATATTGCTGCTCGTGGCTGTGTGGCAAGAACATCAAACTTCAGCGCTGAAGCCGCGGGAGGTACGGAAGGCGAGCGACGGCATCAAGCAAAGACCGGAGTTCAAGAACGTTCATGACTTGATCGACAAATACCGTACGTGCTCTGGCTTGTTACTTCAGGATAGAGCCAACAGAAATGTTCTGTATTTGGTCTAACGGTGCACTTGGGGAGGCGGTGCACTTGAGGAGGCTGCGCAAGCTAATGAGGCGTTTGTTAGGCGCCTAATGCGAGAGAGCCCCCCCTTTTGCGTCACGGTTCGCCCGTTTCACATCGACATGCACGAAACGGAAGCTGTGCGGCCAATAGCAAAGCTTCGCGCATCATCTTAGTGTGCGCAATCAACCCTCACAAACCTGACAAATGCCGTCTGTTATGGAACGACGTAAATCACGCTCGCATAATACTAGATTGTTACGTTGAATGCCAAATTGTCACGCAGCACGTCCACATTTGCTTTCTTAGTCTTACTACAACATTCAGCTGCCATTTATTGTTCTCCATTTCTTTTCTATGACTCCCCCTCCCACCATTTCCATTCCTTTCCATTTCTATCCCCTGGACAGTTAAGCAAGCTATTCCCCTCACAGACGTCACCATTTTAATACCAGTGGGCATCGCGCAGCTGTACGCATACACCTCGGATCAGCAAACGACGATCATATCGTACAATATCATCACCACGCGCTATCTCTACCGCAACTTCACCAACATGAAGGGCGGTGCGTCGCTCGACACGCTGGAAGGAAGCACCGTCACCAAGCGCGGTCCCAACTACCAGCCAGTTGTGGGTTTCCAGGGCACGGGCGCGACTCTTTGGAGCATGCTGATCATCCCCAACTTGTGGGTGGGGTCGGACTTCACGATCCAAGGAACCACGACGCTCCTCATCCCCGCCGACTTGTGATCCCCCTTGAAATGTTGGTGTGGGATAATGGCAGAGGGGGGGAGGGTGTGATGGGTGTTGTGAGGGCTCGTCGTGCAGAAGGACGGCGGCGGAGGCGACTCTGCTGTAACAGTACGATTTGTCATTCAACTCCTAACCCCAGGCGTTCAGAGGTAGTGATGCAATTTGTTGAATTGCAACTACGAGGTTTAGGTTAAATGGGAATAATAAAAATCAGTTTTAGCAATGCATTCATAGAACCGCTGTTACAGTAGCGTATAATCACCAATCATCATAAGAGCAGCATGTTTATCATTGCATAATCTACCGCCTCAACTTTAACGAAACGTGGATCACCAAGCTAGTAACAAGTTTGTCCCCATTGCATGCCTTCGCACCCCATCTCCGTTCGTACTGTGGATGTTGGTCCTGACATTTCTAGACTGGATGACCCATCTCGTTTGCCCTAGCGTAGCGATGTCGGGCAGTCAGGCCTTGAGAGAGGGCATCACAGCCACATTGTGGCAGGGTCTTGTTATGACAAGGCTTTCCTGGACAAGTGAGCTCCTGAAGCGGACGAGAGAGGCACTTGGAGATTCAATTACGACCCTTCAATAGGGTTGGGGTAGAGAACATAATAGCCCTTCAAAATGCTAAACCTGCTCATGTGCAACCGCCGCTCTCACGCTAGACGACAGGCGTCTGGAGCACGAGGCTACTGCAGAAGCCAATGATCCGGGGCCAGCCCAATATACAGCTGTCATTGTCGGAAGCGCAGTGGAAGTGTTTGCGAGGAGGGGAACGTGACCTGTTAAATCCTGTCCGTCGGATCGACGGGTGGCTGGTGTCTCTGGTTTGTCACCACCGAATGTCCCAGCATTCCCGACGACTCACTGGTGTTTCGCGAGCTGACGAGCATTCCTCGGAGCTGGTAACCAGACTGCACGAAACTGTGTGGTGCTTCCCCAACTGTCCACCTAGCGAACGGCAGCTCTTCAACGCCTTTCTTCCAAAACCGCCGAGCATAGCCCAATGTACGCCTACTCTCTACCTCCTGCACCCCTTCCCCGACATGCATGCATGTACAGTAGCTTCCCAATTCACACAGCTGCCCCCATCCATCACCACATAATGCAATGCACAGTACTGCCAGGTGCCCTTCACAGGCTGGCCCTCTGAACTCGAGGTGGTTTTCCCGAGTATCCCCCACATCTCAAAACAGACGCAGTGGTACCAGGTACTGGGGTTCTGTGAAACAAGGTAACTAGCCGGGTCGCAGTCTAACAAACAGTTGGTTTCCAGTTCCGAGTTCCCAAAAATATCCGTTCCTCCTTACGGCTCTTAAAACCACAGCATAACAAACTCCGTTTGGGCTGATCTGGTCTTCACTGTAGGCACACTTTGTATTTTCACGGTCCAGGCGGCAGTGCCCCGCCGCATCTGGGATCAAACCCTGGAAAACGGGTGCACCACAATTCATCAGACCTTGCTTTCGCGACATTGCTGTTGCGTCGCCCACTTCCACGCTATCACGCCCACCGAAACGACGAACATTTCCACCTTGTTCCCATTACGGGCAGTTTATTTCACCCGAAACACTTTTTCCAAAGAAAGAATTGAAACCAAAGATGGCTTGTTCTGGCCTTGGCTAAACTCCCCCGTCAGCCTGCCCTGGCCCCTGACCAATGCCCTTCCCCACCGTCAATCATGGCAGAAGGTGGACAGAACATCCCAGCAGCATTTTTCCAGTCAACCAACCAACCCTCACAGTCACAGACCATCGACGACAGGTTACCCCCACTCGTATGTACCACAAGCGGTAGATTGAGGCCACCGACTCAGGCTTCTATCTCCGTCGTCTTCCGTGACTCCTATTCAGGTCAAAAGTTAGTCATTACGCATCGTGAACGTTTCCCTCCAACACCAGTCTTCGCTAGTTAATTGCCCGCCAGTCCCCAAGTATCTATGGTTTCCTCCTTACTGCTTATCAGCCGCTCACATCTGCGAAGCGCTCGTCACGTAGTCTGCCGCACCGTGTCATCGTAGCTTTGGCAAAATGGCGCTCGACGGTCGACAAAGACGACGCGACATCAGCGAATTGTTGTTTTAGGGTTTCCCATTTTAATCGTTAAGCACATCTCTCGATCAGCGTGCATCCTCAGAAGCATCGTTGGGACAAAACTATCAGCCATAGTAGTATCCGACGGGCTTCGTAACCTCTTTCAAAGACAGACATCCTTTTTCGCCTCCATTTTATTTATTCAATGGCTTGCCGGCAGCAAAGATGGCAACACTCAGTACCCGTGCTCGCTATAGTTTTCTCGTCACTAATACTATTGCAAGCAAGCGGCGCGGAGGCGATACGGAGAGCGGAGCTGCAGCAAGCCATCGCGCAAATCAATCAGCGAGCCGAGTTTGCGACCGTGAAAGACGTCATCAGCCAATGGCGTGCGTCCCTCTTCCCCCTCGTGCTCCCCAAAAGTCATATTCCTTCCCCCCACAGCCTCCCCTCGACCCCCCACTCCCCCCCCGCGCAACTCCACCAATCCCGCACGATTCCCGCTCTACGAGCCCTTGTGAACCCCTACGATCGGCTGCGCCCCCCTTACCATCCCTCTAAGAGCCCTGTGACCCCTACTGCCCCGTACGATACTTCACAACGCCTTACGACCCCATCCGACTCGTTGCGACCCGCTTACGCCCCGCTTACGACGCCCTACGCGGGCCGCCCCCGTACCATCCACAGCGCTTCTAGACCTCTCTCCTCCTCCATCCGCTTCCAGACCTCTCTCCTCCTCCATCCGCTTCTTCCTCGCTTTCTCCCACTTTCGGTCGGGCTCTCCCACCGTTTCCCCCGCCGCCGCCCTCGCCGTCTCTCCCGCCTGCTCTCCCGCCGTCGGCCCCTTGTTTTCCTGGTCCACCTCCCCGCGTTGTCATTTCCGCGACCCCTCCGCCCGTGCCTGTTTCGGCAGTGCTGCTTCCTCCATCCCTGCTTCTCAACCACCTTCTCCCCCCCCCCCAACTCCCCCTCCACCCCTCTCTACCTCTCATTGTTCTGTTCTACGCTGTCGTCCGCTCCCGCGCGCGTTCCGTCCGGGGTCCGCATTGTTCCCTTTCCTCCACTTTATCCCCCCTCGCTCAGCCCCCCCCGCTTTCCCCCTCCCCGGCGTTCCCCTTTCTTCCTTTCCGCCTCCCCGCCTTTCCCCATCCGCGCACCACCCTGCACGTCCATGCCTCGCCGCGCCTTCGCTTCCCGCGATCTCCCTCCCGGTCGTTGCTCCTTCTCTCGTTTCCGCCTCCGCGCTTCCCTCCTCCGCGCTTCCCCCTTCCGCGATTTCCTATTCCGCACTTCTCCCCTCCGCACTTCCTTCCTCTGCGCTTCCCTCGTGCGCGCGGTAGCCCCGATGCACAACCCAAAGGCCCAAGCGCATCGCCGCCATGCATTCACCTCCCACCGCTGCCCTACAGCACGGCCCCCTGCGCTCGTTCCTTCGTCCCCCTATCTTCGCCCAATCCCCGCCCGTTATTCCTCCAATCCTCACCCCTTCATTCACCCTAGCTAGCAACCCTCGTTGAGCTTTACTGCGCGAAGCCTCTCATATTGCACCCGTCCACACTCACAAGCTCTGCGTTACCACTCCTATAAGGACTCCATAACAGGCGCTGCTATACCCTGCGCTGCCCTCCCTCTCTCCACCCGCTTCCTCAGCCCAATTTCGTCGCCATTCGACACACTAGAGGGCGAGTTAGAGACGTCTCTAAACTCCACTTCTCCCCCATGCCCCTCGGTGGCCCCTTATTAGGATTGCTGGTTTCAGATCCGTCCACGTGGCATCCATTCCTTTCCACGTAGTGCATTAGCTCTCTCCTCCCTGCCCACCACTAACGTCTTTCTCCTCCCTTCTCCCCCACCCCTCCTCCCTCTCCTCTCCCCCCTCTCTCCCCCTGCCTCCCCCACCCCATCCCCCCGTGTACAGTATCAGCGCTCACATCACTCTCAGACGTCACCATCCTCCTCCCGCTCTCCCCCGAGGTCCTCTCTTTCATGAAAACCGCCTTTTCGCCGACCAAGCGAGATCAAATCCTGGCCTTCCACGTCATCACCAAACGCTACTCCTACGCCAATCTCACGTCCCTTCCGGGCGGCACCGAGTTGGAAACTCTTGAAGGCATGCCGTTAATTAAACGCGGCCCGAATTTCCAACCGCTAACGCTCTTTCAAGGCCGAGAACTCATCCCATCGCTCGTCATTGTGCCAAATATTTTCGTTGGGTCGACTTTTTCGATTCATGGCATCAGTACAGTGCTAATTCCACCGGATTTATGACCGCGAGTTTTTTCTCGGAAAATGTGCTATACGGTAGTAGCTAACACACTAATGGCTTGCGCAAAGGAGATTTTTTTGTGCTTTTGAGTTGCCTATATATAGAGCTTGTACGCAGTAATGATTCAAATAGAACTCAACACTTCGTTGGGAAGCTAGTCTTGCGTGGTGCAGTGCCTTAGAGTGCAGTGCCTTGCTGTGGTGGTGCAGAACAGCGTGGCAACGGTGGCAACAACTTAACTTACCCAGCAACATGCTCTATAGTCTATACATACGGCACATACACCATGAGGTTGCAGGCTCCAACTACGGTAAGCACGCAGCAGCGGGGGAAACCTAAACCACAAGGGAGAATGGGTGGGTGGTATTACTGCGTGAATTGTACAATACAAGACTTGGTACGGTACGGTACCGTCATCGCCCGGATATAAGACATATACGGTATGTCTTATCTCGCAAACGGGCAAAAATGCTTGGGTTATCTTGTATTTGGGACGGTTTAGGGTGTCTTATAAGTCTTATAAATGGACAAAGAACCGTTTAGAAGATACCCCCTCGTTATACAATTGCCCCTAACCCCTACACTTGCCTAACCTGTACACAGAAATAGGTGTCTTATAATAAGGCTAGCCTGTTTATAAGAGACACCCGTATAATAGACAACCCCTGTCTACTATTCAACACTGTCTTATATCCGGGCGATGACGGTACCTCTTGAGATGTATTAACCTCAACTTTGTCCCATCACGTGTGTTCGAGGCATACAACGGGCCGATGCGGTAGAAGAAATTCCAGCCATTCCCGCAACTTGAGGTTTGCAGTTGCATCTATGGCCCATCACTTGAGCGCGGGGTGGGGGCGGTTGAGTTGCCGGAGTGGTTACTGCTGTCCTTCTAGAACCCGCGGCCGCCCCCACATGTACCCGCACCCACATGTACCCGCACCCACATGTACCCGCACCCACATGTACCCCATGTGCACCCACATGTACCCGCACCCACATGTACCCGCACCCACATGTACCCGCACCCACATGTACCCGCACCCACATGTACCCGCACCCACATGTACCCGCACCCACATGTACCCGCACCCACATGTACCCGCACCCACATGTACCCGCACCCACATGTACCCGCACCCACATGTACCCGCACCCACATGTACCCGCACCCACATGTACGGTACCCGCCCCCACATGTACCCGCCCCCACATGTACCCGCACCCACATGTACCCCCCCCCACATGTACCCGCACCCACTTCCACAAGTGATTCAGTCGACCCAAAACACACACGGTAAGTCATTCCCGCGAGTTGATGTATGCAGTTGCATCGGTGACCCATCGCTTGAGGGACGAGCGCGGGTGGTTGAGCTGCCAGCGGTGGTTGTTTAAGTCCTGCTCGAACCCCCGCCCCCCACCACAGGGGATAGACCCTGCCAGGAACACGTGCGCGTGTGCACAGACTAGCTTGTCTATAATGGCCACGATGCCTGCTCGCAGAGACACAGGGAGTGAAGGGGAGGGAAAGGGAGCGTGAGATGGTTGGTCTGTGCTGAGTGCAAAGCATGCAGGAACACATGTGCACACACGACCTCCTCTTATGTGCACACACGAGCTTGTCCTCTATCGCCACGATGCCTGCACGTGGTGAAGGGGGGGACAACAAACGAAAGCTGATATCCATCTCAGTCGAACCCACAGGATGGTGGCCCATGTGTGCGCTCGTGGCCCATGTGTGCGTGTGGCTGCGCTGCGCATGGTTCTTCACCAGCGCCCACGATGCCTGCATGTGCTGAGAGGGGCGGATGAGAGGGATGGGAGGGGAAAGTGTGCGAGCAATACACCAAGCCGCCAACAATGCCCGTCCATCATCACTGCACACCACTCAGCACCACTCAGCACCACGCTGCACCACGCTGCACCGCTCTGCACTCACCGGGGTCGTACTGGTTGACCTGTGGGAGCACCTCGTCCAGCATGACAGTCCCCTCAACGCTCTCCCTCAGCCAGCGCAGGCTGTCCCGTGGTGCCGCACGCACCCTCTCCCCGTCCCCAAAGCTCCACGTAGTCTCCGACCATGAGTCCGACCGCACCACCTCCCCCTCTCCCCCCCCTTGCCCGCCTCCCCCCTGCTCTCCCCCTCTTCTCCCGCCTCCGCCCTGCTCCTCTCCCCCAGGCTCGCCTCCCCCTTGCTCGCCTGCACTCTGTTTGCCGCCCAGCTGTGGTGTGCCCGGGCGGGCAGTGAAGGGTACGTCAGCAGCAATGAAGACGGCGGTGGTGTGTGTGTCCTGCTGCACCTGCTCTATGAGGTCCCGTGCTGCCCGCACACACCACGCCATCATCTCCTCTAGCATGCTCGCGTTGGCCCGCCTGCCGTCCCTCTTTAGCCTCTGCGCCTGTATTGGGGAGTTGGAGGGGAGAAGAGGAGAGAAGAGGAGGAGAGGAGGAGAGGAGGAGAGGAGGAGAGGAGGAGAGGAGGAGAGGAGGAGAGGAGGAGAGGAGGAGAGGAGGAGAGGAGGAGAGGAGGAGAGGAGGAGAGGAGGAGAGGAGGAGAGGAGGAGAGGAGGAGAGGAGGAGAGGAGGAGCGCTCACGAGGTGGAAGGCGATGAACTCACGAGGTGGAAGGCGATGAACTCACGAGGTGGAAGGCGATGAACTCACGAGGTGGAAGGCGATGAACTCACGAGGTGGAAGGCGATGAACTCACGAGGTGGAAGGCGATGAACTCACGAGGTGGAAGGCGATGAACTCACGAGGTGGAAGGCGATGAACTCACGAGGTGGAAGGCGATGAACTCACGAGGTGGAAGGCGATGAACTCACGAGGTGGAAGGCGATGAACTCACGAGGTGGAAGGCGATGAACTCACGAGGTGGAAGGCGATGAACTCACGAGGTGGAAGGCGATGAACTCACGAGGTGGAAGGCGATGAACTCACGAGGTGGAAGGCGATGAACTCACGAGGTGGAAGGCGATGAACTCACGAGGTGGAAGGCGATGAACTCACGAGGTGGAAGGCGATGAACTCACGAGGTGGAAGGCGATGAACTCGGAGCGGAAGTGAACCGCAATGAAGCGCGCGGGCAGGTGGGCCATGATAGAGTGATACAGGCCTTGCACATACACTCACACTCCCAGTGATGAAGGTGAAACTCAGCACCCACCAGCCGAAAAGCAATGAATTCGGAGCGGAAGTGAACAGCAATGAAGCGCGCGGGCAGGTGGGCCATGACGGCATGAGCCATGGCGTGCCAGGGGCGGCTGTAGGGCAGCATGTGGAAGGACATGAGGTCCGTCTGTGGCTCGAAGGCTATCCTCTCCCACGTGTCCTTCACCCATACCACCACTTGCTTGTGCTGCCTGCACAGGGCGCGCACAGAAAGGAAAGAGAGGGGAGAAGGAAGCAAGGAGAATTGAGCGTGGTATAAATAGAACTTATATTTTTTGCTCCCACGTGTCTTTCCCCACTGCACCACGAGCCGGTGCTGCCTGCCGGCATGCATGCATGCATGCACGGGGGGATGATGACGGGTCAGTGGCAGCAGGCATGGCGATGTCAACCGCGTTGCCCTTAGTTGGCATGTGCCCATTGCCATGCCCATTGCCATGCCCATTGCCATGCCCATTGCCGTGCCCATTGCCATGCCCATTGCCGTGCCCATTGCCATGCCCATTGCCATGCCCATTGCCATGCCCATTGCCATGCCCATTGCCATGGTGACGTCAACTGTGTTGCCCCATACCGCACGCAACAACAGCATGCCGCACAATATACCAGAGCCCTCACCATGCATGCAGGCCGGCGAGCACGGAGTCACTGGTGGCAGGGATGCTGACATCAACTGTGTTGCCCCTTGAGGGCACATGCCCCATTGCCCAACAACACCATGACATGCCCACCGCCCACCCACACCAGAGCTCTCATTCACCATGCATGCAGCAAGGACCACACGAGAAGAGCTCTCACCATGCATGCAGGCGGGCGAGCACGGAGTCACTGGCAGCAGGCATGGCGACATCCACCGTGTTGCCTCCATTCGGCACGTGCCCCATGCCATACGCCGCCAGCTCTCCCAGCATTGCCGCCACCGGCTCTGGACGGACGAGAGGGGAGACGGAACAAAAGAGAGGAAGAGGTGAGGGGAAAGGAAGAGAAGGGTATGGATGAGGTTCAGAGGCGCGTAACCCACGCCATACGCCGCCAGCTCTCCCAGCATTGCCGCGACTGGCTGTGCACATGACATGGCACGGAAGGATCATAATGCACTTGCGGCGCATACTGCATGCCTTGCTGACGGTACCTTCATTAACAAATATATATTTACATAGAAAGAAAAGAAAACTCCAATCAAGGAACTTACGGTGCATGAAGGGGTGCTTGCGCATGTAGCTGGATTGCAGCAGCATGAAGGCCACGGAGGGCGCGGAGAGAGCAGCTCGGGCCATGAGCAGGAAGAGGTCGGGGGATACCCATGCGGCGGAGTCGAAATGGGCGAGGTGGAAGTAGGTGCAGAAGGGCAGCCCGAGCGCTACCGAGAGATGGCTTCGGCTGCCCTGCGGTGAGCGGCAGTGGGGCACGGGCGGTGGCAGGGATGTGTAATGATGGGGAGCAGCATACATGATGTGTGATGATGGGGAGCAGCATACATGATGTGTGATGATGGGGAGCAGCATACATGATGTGTGATGATGGGGAGCAGGATGCGGAAAACATGCGAGAGAGCTGGGCATGCGGAGCGGGAGGTCGGGGGATACCCCGGCGGCAGAGTCAAAGTGGGCGAGGCGAGGTGGACATAGGCGCACGAGGGCGGGCACACTTAGGGGATAGATTGACGATGCGGATTACTTGCATCTGGACAGAGGGACCCTCAGGGGCGCGGGGTGAGGGGGAACGCCATTGGGTCAAGGCAGGCAGTTGACCCGGGGGGGATACAACGTGCTTGTAGCTGCCGTCCCCAGCCCAATACAGCTCTCCTCGGGCAGCGCGAAGGGATTTGGCTCGGGCAGCTGAGGAAAATTCACCTCGGGCAGCAAAGCAAAGTCTGACCTTGGGCAGCACGAGGATGCGGTTGGTGGCGTGTGCGATGCGCGCCGCCTCGACGAGGTGCGAGCGCGAGTTGGACAGCTGCTCGTCCGAATAGGCGAACACCAGGTACTTGCTGCTGGGGGCCGGCTGGGGTTGGCATGGCATGGCGGGACCAAAGAGGGAAGGAGGGAATGAATGTGCGAGGGAGCGCGAGCAGGATAGGGGGTAGGTGGGATGGGGAACACACAGTGCAGTGGATGAAGAGGGGAGCCACGGGAATGGGATGAGAGGAGTTATAAAGCTGCTCCTGCGAACAGGCGACGATGAGGTACTTGATGCTCGAGGCGGGCCGGGGGGAATGGCATGGCGGGACGGCGGGGTGAGATGGCGGGACGCCGGACGCTGGGAAGGTGAGGGGGGGAAGATGGGAGGGGGAACGCGATGGGAGGGGGGCCTGTACGAGATGAGTTGGAGATTCAAAGAGAGGAGAGGTAGAGAGGCGCTCAACGCACACGGACAGCACGCTTCAGGCCACGTGGCACCGCTACCGTGGACCAGCACGCTTCAGGCCACGGGCTGGCGAAAATGGAGCAGTCTAGGGGTGGGAGGGCGTGGGGAGAAGGGCGAAGAGAGGAGGGTGTGGGAGCGGAGAGGGGGGAGGATGCGTGGGTGGTCGGAGCCAAGGAAGGAGCCAACGGGTGGTTTCATGCACTCACCGCTGCTTTGTTGAACGGCATGTGCGGCACGGGCCAGCACGCCTCAGGCCACGTCGCACCACTACCGCTCATAGCGCTACTGCTGTCCGCTCTGCTGCTGTCCGCGCTGCTCTCAGCCGCGTCGCTCCCGGGCCCAACGTCATTCCCAGCGCCCTCACAGTCCCCGCCAGCACCACACTCCCCGCGCAGCTCCCCACAGTCCGCGGAGGCAGCGCAGCCCCCCGCAGCAGCAAGGGTGACCTCCACGGCGCGCACCCCCGCGCACACCGCGTCCACCCCTGCGGCGATCCGCGCCAGTGACGTCACGTTCCGCCCCACGGCGCGCCGCACGTACGCGCTGCTGGCGGCGCCCGCCAGCACCCCCCGCCGCCACCGCGGCGAGCACAGCTGCCCCAGATCCGGTGCTGCTGTTCCCCCGCTGGGGTTGCCACCCTCTCCAGATGCAGCCTCCCCCCCGTACGATCCAAATGGCGCCTGTGTGCTGTTGCTGCCGTCGCTGCTGCCATCGCTATTGCCACTGCTGCTGCTGGTGCTACTAGTGCTGCTACTGCCGTCATCATCAGCCTCCTCCGCTTCCCTCCGCCTCGCCTCCGCCGCCCATTGCTGCAACGCGTTCCGCAGCTGCGCCCGGCACGTCCCCGCTATAAGCCTCTTTGCGGGGCTGAGCTTTGAGCCGTACACGAGCGCGCCCTTCATGGCCTTCAAACACGCGTCGCTGAAATTAAGGCCGGCCACAGGACGACGCTCAGGACTCGACGCCAACGTCACCAGGCTATCACCATTCCCAGTCGGCACAGCTGTCTTTCTAAGGGACTCTGGGAACTTTACACCCAAAAGTCCGAGTTATAAGGCATTCTGCCAATGTTTCCAGCGGTTCCAATGGATGGAAAAGGATTCTCTAGCAGGTGATCACGCGATGGTCGGCTTGTGAGCACGAAGGCTATTCGAAGGAGAATGAGCAGCGCAAACACTCCCGCAAGTTTGGCTAGAGCGCGCCGGAAAGCAGTACTCGGGAAAGAGAGAAGCGAGGCGAGCGGGGGATCATGGTGGTGCTCTTGAGCTGGTTTGCCGCTGTAGAGATCGTGTGGCTTCTTCCTTTCGCCGGTGAAAACAGCTGTAAATCTCAGCCATTGGCTTAGATGGCTCGCCTCGCAGGTGTGCAGTTTTTGCTGCCTGATCATCGCAGCGTCGACTGCAGAGGGGGACGTCAGGAACAGTAAGCTTGGAGAAGACTTTTGAGACGTCTCAAAAGGAATAGTACGCTTGGAGAAGTAAACGCATGTAGAATGTGAGATTCGTCTATATCCGTGTAGTTCGACTATATCCAAGGCCCCAAAACGCCGTGCGGTACGATGCTTAGTACATTGTACCTAAGGGCCTTTGGGAAAACAGAGGAGCGACTAAAGTCGATCTGGACGTGAGGTCAGCTTCTACTTCTTTGAAAGTTCTCAACTTCCTAATTCGCAAATCACAGTCCCTAAGCATATTAGACGTCACTCCTAGAAACGTGCCAGTGCATACCGTTGCCTACTATCCACGAAACAAGTGGATTGGGGAACTGCGGGAAACACGCTCAGCAGTTGGAAAGGTGCACGAGTCACGCGGCATCAGAAGCTCGCCTAGCCAGAGTAGAGAGGAGTGAGAAGAACGAAGGCAATGTGCGATTCGGGAATAGCCAACAGAGCTCTGGAGGTTGAACGTCAGAAGGTTGGGCGCGAAATGTACAGAAACTCACTATGGATCCTGAAGGTCGCCTGCCAGTTACATGTAATCATACATCAGTTTACAATCGTATGCCAAATATGTCAAATTCTCTCATGTGAAATGTGACGAGGAAGCGACAAACGAGTCAATTGTCTGTCTCTCTGACACCCCCTGACCACGAACATGCCTCCGGTAAGTGTCACCATCAAACCGCGCTGGGTGACCAGACCGTCGATCGAAACGAAACGAGAGCAATCGCACGGCTTACTTGAGTCGTTGCCGTCAGCCAGTCGCGTTCAGCGCATGAGTGGTTCCCGCGTGTAAGGAAACCCCTAGGCTCGGCTGCTTGTGCTGCCTGTGGCGTGACATGACCACATACGCTCCCTCAGCTGAAGCCAAGGCACAGGCACACCAACGCGCCGCACATTCTTTCCCAAGCAGCTGGTGGAATTCGAGTTGTAGCTACCTCGTGGCCTAAGCCGGTGATCTCGGTACACGTACATCAGGTCGCTTATCTTGGAGTAGTTGACGTAAACCCATTTTTGAGAATAATAGCACAGCATTCTCACACACTTCGCCTAGTGATGACCTAAGTTTCGCCTCGTGCTTTCTTCTCACAACTCTTGCAAATCGTCGGAGGCTTGCGAATCGTGATCATGCAAGACGACGTTAGAAGAGACGAGGAGGAGCCATCGTCCACATTAGGGACACCTCTCATATGCCACCCTTTAATAAACTGGCAATCGAAGCGGCGGGTTTGGTGCTTGTCAATACCGACTCCCGTACTTATCGCCTTAGCAGTCATTCTAATATGTGAGGCTCTATTTTATGTGGAATTTCCCGTCTCTTTTGGTCGACCTCATACGGCTGTGATTGAATTCGTCGGAGACACTCATACCGAGGATCGGGACAGCGCCTGGCTCGCTTCCATCGAGATAAAACGGACAAAGTTCAATTTCTCAGATTCATGCGTGGACGTCCTTCGCAGTCACTCCGATAGACAATTCGTTTATGCTCCAAGTAAAGACGAGACTGTACAAGATGTAATGTCTAAGGTTACGAGTTGTAACGCCAGCCTCTGTAACGCGTTGCAACAGTGGGCTCAACTCGCGCGAGACCGCGAGTTACAGGGTAACTGCAGCAGCAACGACCCAGCAATACGCTCCAGCTGTAAACCCAGCTCATTCCCGTCCTTGAAGAACGCGTTCGTATGGCGAATAAATTCAGGCGCGTCCGGAACTCAGAAATTCCCGAACGATCCGCTAAAAGCCGACCCGCTACCAGAAGAAGAGGTGGAGAGGCAGCAGTCGGGCGGCGTGGGGCAGATCTGCGCGGAGGAGTGGAAACGCGGGGTGCTGGCGCGACTGACGAGCAGCACGTACGTCCGTCGGATGCTGGCGGACAACCAGACCCGCATGGAGAATATCACCGCCGGCATTGACGCTGTGTGCGCGCGCACGCGGGAGGTGGAGGCGGGGCTTCTGGCGGGCAGACGGCGCGGCAGCGGTGCTGCCACGTCGGGGTGTGGTGACTGGCCCGAGGCGTGCTGGCCCGTGCCGCACATGCCCTTCGCCATGCTCTCTGTATGCATCATCCCTCACATGCCCTTTGGCATTCTTCCTTTGTGCATCATGCTTTTCCATGCTCTTTGATTGTTGCAAGTACCTGGTGTTCGCCATGTCAGAGGAGCATTCTTTAGGCCCCTTAAACTGACTCTCCCCTTTTCCGCCCATCCCCCACTCTCCCCCCACCCTCTCCCTCCACTCATCAGGACTTCCCCCGGCGCAAGTACCTGGTGTTCGCCATGTCGGAGGAGCAGCTCAGCAACGCGCGCACGCACATCATCGAGGCTGCGCGCCTGGCTCAGATGTCCAACCGCATCCTCGTGCTGCCCAAGGTGGGTGGGGGGCGTTATAGGGATAGGGTAACCATGCAACTGGGTAACGGCGTGTCACACGGCCACATCATAGAGGCTGCCTGCCTGACTCAGATGTCCAACCGCATCCTGGTGTTGCCCAAGGTGGGTGGAGAAGGGTCCTCACAACAGGCCAGTCGCGGCTACTGGGACCTCACCAAGCTGGCAGCCACAGCAGAATGGAATGGTTCTCCATCCGTCTCCTTTCTGTACCGCGCCCTGCCCCACTCCACCCCATTCTCTCACATTACAATAGGCCAGTCGCAGCCACCTCTCTCTCGGTCGCTCCCTGCCCCTCTGTGCCTACTGGGACCTCACCAAGCTGGCCGCCACTGCAGAGTGCATGGGCTCTCCATCCGTCTCCTCGTACCGCATCCCATGCCACTCCACCCCACTTGACCCCTTGTCACCGCACTCCACCCCCCACCAGGCCAGTCGCAGCCACCTCTCTCTGGGCCGCTCTCTACCCCTCTGTGCCTACTGGGACCTCACCAAGCTGGCCGCCACGGCAGAATGGGTGTCACTGCAGCTCTTCCAGATTGAATGGGCCACTATCCATTTCCCCTTTGTACCGCATCATACACCATTCCACCCAACCCCATCCCACTCCCCTACTCCTTTCTACAACAGGCAAGTCGCAGCCACCTGTCGCTGGGTCGCTCTCTACCGCTCTGCGCCTACTGGGACCTCACCTAGCTGGTAGGCAGCCACGGCAGAGTGTGTGTCCATGCATCCCTGCACCGCATCCCACCCCACTCCACCCCTCACACCAGGCCAGTCGCAGCCACCTCTCTCTCGGCCGCTCTCTACCGCTCTGTGCCTACTGGGATCTCACCAAGCTGGCCGCCACAGCAGAGTGGGTGTCACCGCAGCTCTTCCTGCTGCTCGCCCGCGCTACCCTCCCCACCCCCTCCGTGGGCTTCATGTGGGTGCAGTCTCCCTACCTCGAGCGAACGGCCTTCCATTATGGTACGTTGACCCCCTCCTCTGTCACTCTCGCTCATGCCAACTCACACACACACACACTCGTGCCCTCCCCATCCCCTCCATGGGCTTCATGTGGTGCAATCACCCTACATGGAGCGCACTGCCTTTCACTATGGTTCCACTACAGAAAGAAACCAACAACCATTTCCAACATTGGCATCTCGTTTCAGACTTCCTAGAAGCGACCCTATGAATACCTGTTCGTTCCTGCACCTTCCTTTCCCTTCCCATCTTACCTCCTCCCCATCAAAACTAGCCTCGGAGTTCCTGGGGCAGCTGCTGCCATTCGCCATGGGGCACGTGCCGCTGGAGAACAGCACTCACTCCTCCGTTCGCCCTCTCCCTCTCGTGTGTGCACATGCCGCTTCTCCTCTCCCCCTACAGAACTAGCCTCAGAGTTCCTGGGGCAGCTGCTGCCGTTCGCCATGGGGCACGTGCCGCTGGAGACCAGCACTCACTCCTCCGTTCGCCCTCTCCCTCTCGTGTGTGCACATGCCGCTTCTCCTCTCCCCCTACAGAACTAGCCTCAGAGTTCCTGGGGCAGCTGCTGCCGTTCGCCATGGGGCACGTGCCGCTGGAGACCAGCACTCACTCCTCCGTTCGCCCTCTCCCTCTCGTGTGTGCACATGCCGCTTCTCCTCTCCCCCTACAGAACTAGCCTCAGAGTTCCTGGGGCAGCTGCTGCCGTTCGCCATGGGGCACGTGCCGCTGGAGACCAGCACTCACTCCTCCGTTCGCCCTCTCCCTCTCGTGTGTGCACATGCCGCTTCTCCTCTCCCCCTACAGAACTAGCCTCGGAGTTCCTGGGGCAGCTGCTGCCGTTCGCCATGGGGCACGTGCCGCTGGAGACCAGCACTCACTCCTCCGTTGGCCCTCTCCCTCTCGTGTGTGCACATGCCGCTTCTCCTCTCCCCCTACAGAACTAGCCTCGGAGTTCCTGGGGCAGCTGCTGCCGTTCGCCATGGGGCACGTGCCGCTGGAGACCAGCACTCACTCCTCCGTTCGCCCTCTCCCTCTCGTGTGTGCACATGCCGCTTCTCCTCTACCCCTACAGAACTAGCCTCGGAGTTCCTGGGGCAGCTGCTGCCATTCGCCATGGGGCACGTGCCGCTGGAGACCAGCACTCACTCCTCCGTTCGCCCTCTCCCTCTCGTGTGTGCACATGCCGCTTCTCCTCTCCCCCTACAGAACTAGCCTCAGAGTTCCTGGGGCAGCTGCTGCCGTTCGCCATGGGGCACGTGCCGCTGGAGACCAGCACTCACTCCTCCGTTCGCCCTCTCCCTCTCGTGTGTGCACATGCCGCTTCTCCTCTCCCCCTACAGAACTAGCCTCGGAGTTCCTGGGGCAGCTGCTGCCATTCGCCATGGGGCACGTGCCGCTGGAGACCAGCACTCACTCCTCCGTTGGCCCTCTCCCTCTCGTGTGTGCACATGCCGCTTCTCCTCTCCCCCTACAGAACTAGCCTCGGAGTTCCTGGGGCAGCTGCTGCCGTTCGCCATGGGGCACGTGCCGCTGGAGACCAGCACTCACTCCTCCGTTCGCCCTCTCCCTCTCGTGTGTGCACATGCCGCTTCTCCTCTCCCCCTACAGAACTAGCCTCGGAGTTCCTGGGGCAGCTGCTGCCGTTCGCCATGGGGCACGTGCCGCTGGAGAACAGCACTCACTCCTCCGTTCGCCCTCTCCCTCTCATGTGTGCACATGCCGCTTCTCCTCTCCCCCTACAGAACTAGCCTCGGAGTTCCTGGGGCAGCTGCTGCCATTCGCCATGGGGCACGTGCCGCTGGAGACCAGCACTCACTCCTCCGTTCGCCCTCTCCCTCTCGTGTGTGCACATGCCGCTTCTCCTCTCCCCCTACAGAACTAGCCTCAGAGTTCCTGGGGCAGCTGCTGCCGTTCGCCATGGGGCACGTGCCGCTGGAGACCAGCACTCACTCCTCCGTTCGCCCTCTCCCTCTCGTGTGTGCACATGCCGCTTCTCCTCTCCCCCTACAGAACTAGCCTCGGAGTTCCTGGGGCAGCTGCTGCCATTCGCCATGGGGCACGTGCCGCTGGAGACCAGCACTCACTCCTCCGTTCGCCCTCTCCCTCTCGTGTGTGCACATGCCGCTTCTCCTCTCCCCCTACAGAACTAGCCTCAGAGTTCCTGGGGCAGCTGCTGCCGTTCGCCATGGGGCACGTGCCGCTGGAGACCAGCACTCACTCCTCCGTTCGCCCTCTCCCTCTCGTGTGTGCACATGCCGCTTCTCCTCTCCCCCTACAGAACTAGCCTCGAAGTTCCTGGGGCAGCTGCTGCCGTTCGCCATGGGGCACGTGCCGCTGGAGACCAGCACTCACTCCTCCGTTCGCCCTCTCCCTCTCGTGTGTGCACATGCCGCTTCTCCTCTCCCCCTACAGAACTAGCCTCGGAGTTCCTGGGGCAGCTGCTGCCATTCGCCATGGGGCACGTGCTGCTGGAGACCAGCACTCACTCCTCCGTTCGCCCTCTCCCTCTCGTGTGTGCACATGCCGCTTCTCCTCTCCCCCTACAGAACTAGCCTCGGAGTTCCTGGGGCAGCTGCTGCCATTCGCCATGGGGCACGTGCCGCTGGAGACCAGCACTCACTCCTCCGTTCGCCCTCTCCCTCTCGTGTGTGCACATGCCGCTTCTCCTCTCCCCCTACAGAACTAGCCTCAGAGTTCCTGGGGCAGCTGCTGCCGTTCGCCATGGGGCACGTGCCGCTGGAGACCAGCACTCACTCCTCCGTTCGCCCTCTCCCTCTCGTGTGTGCACATGCCGCTTCTCCTCTCCCCCTACAGAACTAGCCTCGGAGTTCCTGGGGCAGCTGCTGCCGTTCGCCATGGGGCACGTGCCGCTGGAGAACAGCACTCACTCCTCCGTTCGCCCTCTCCCTCTCGTGTGTGCACATGCCGCTTCTCCTCTCCCCCTACAGAACTAGCCTCAGAGTTCCTGGGGCAGCTGCTGCCGTTCGCCATGGGGCACGTGCCGCTGGAGACCAGCACTCACTCCTCCGTTGGCCCTCTCCCTCTCGTGTGTGCACATGCCGCTTCTCCTCTCCCCCTACAGAACTAGCCTCAGAGTTCCTGGGGCAGCTGCTGCCGTTCGCCATGGGGCACGTGCCGCTGGAGACCAGCACTCACTCCTCCGTTCGCCCTCTCCCTCTCGTGTGTGCACATGCCGCTTCTCCTCTCCCCCTACAGAACTAGCCTCGGAGTTCCTGGGGCAGCTGTTGCCGTTCGCCATGGGGCACGTGCCGCTGGAGACCAGCACTCACTCCTCCGTTCGCCCTCTCCCTCTCGTGTGTGCACATGCCGCTTCTCCTCTCCCCCTACAGAACTAGCCTCGGAGTTCCTGGGGCAGCTGCTGCCATTCGCCATGGGGCACGTGCCGCTGGAGACCAGCACTCACTCCTCCGTTCGCCCTCTCCCTCTCGTGTGTGCACATGCCGCTTCTCCTCTCCCCCTACAGAACTAGCCTCGGAGTTCCTGGGGCAGCTGCTGCCGTTCGCCATGGGGCACGTGCCGCTGGAGACCAGCACTCACTCCTCCGTTCGCCCTCTCCCTCTCGTGTGTGCACATGCCGCTTCTCCTCTCCCCCTACAGAACTAGCCTCGGAGTTCCTGGGGCAGCTGCTGCCATTCGCCATGGGGCACGTGCCGCTGGAGACCAGCACTCACTCCTCCGTTGGCCCTCTCCCTCTCGTGTGTGCACATGCCGCTTCTCCTCTCCCCCTACAGAACTAGCCTCGGAGTTCCTGGGGCAGCTGCTGCCGTTCGCCATGGGGCACGTGCCGCTGGAGGCCAACACGCTGGACGTGAAGATGCCTGCGCGGGACGACACCATGGCGCTTACGCTCAAGGCGTGGTAAGGTTGATGCGGTGGGATGAGATGGGATGGGATGGGATGGGATGAGATGGGATGGGATGGGCCAGAGTGACGCTTGTTGCCCCGTACTCACTCTGGACGTGAAGATGTATGCGAGAGACGATAGCATGGCTCTCATGCTCAAGGCGTGGTACGTGTGCGTGTACTGTGGTGTGATGGGATGGGATGGGATGGATGGCATGGATGGGATGGCATGGCATGGATGGGATGGGGTGGAGGCAACGTTTGTTGGCCCCTATTCACTCTACACGTGAAAATTCCCACACCATGGCTCTCATGCTCAAGGCGTGGTACGCGAGAGTGCAGTGCGGTTTGAGGAGATGACATACCCATACCCATACCCTAACAGCACATTCGCACCCCCTAATCCCCCTCCACACCCACATGCTGGCATCAGGAGCCACAGGGGCGTGATGGTGTGGTTCAACAGATCACGTTGGAGCGAGTGCACTTGCACCCTCGCATGGACCACCACTCACATTCATGTACCCATACCCATACCCATGCGAACCACTCCCAATCGCTCTCCACACACCAGGAGTGATAGGGACGTGGTGGTGTGGTTCAAAACCACGTGGGAGCGAGTGCAGTTCCACCCTCGCACGGACGACATTGCGCTGCCCATGCTGCCCTACCAAAAGAGCCTGCATGCCATGGCTGAGCGATTGCTGGCGCACCTGCCGCGCCCCCTCATTGCCGTTCACTTCCGGTCCGAATTCATCGCTTTCAGAGTGGTGAGTGGGGGAAGCTCAGGGTTTTGGGTTTAGGGTTCAGCGTTAGAGAGGGAGAGGAGGAGTGAGGGCACTTCAACCCTCCCACGGCTCACATCGCACTACCCCTGCTGCCGTCTGTGCCTGAGCGATGGCCGGCCCGCCTGCCGCGCCCGCTCATTGGTGTTGACTTGCGCTCCGAGTTGATAGCGTTCAGCGCGGGGAATGGGGATGGGGCGGTTAGAGGGCAAGGCGGAGCAGGGTTTAGGAGGAAGTGCATGCGGGTGAATTGAGAGGCGCCCCAAATCTCATCTCAAATCAGAGGGAACGAGAGGCCAAGTGCGTACAGATGGGATTGTGATCTCGCCCCAACTGCTGTTAGCTGTGCGATTCTGTTCCTAGCTCGCTGCATTAAGAGGGGCGAGCCGATGGGAGGAGGGAGGGGAAGGGGGAGAGGCGTGAACAGGAGATGAGGGAGTAAGAGCAGGGGAGTGGTGCACCCTGTTACAGCACAAGCACAGCACGTGATCCCTTGCTGCTCTCTCCCCTGGTATTCGCACCATTCCCCCTCAGCAAGAGGACGTGATGAGTCAGGGAGGCAAGGCGAACTCCTATAAAAAAGCCTTACTTCCCTCCCACTCTTACTCTACTCCTCTGCTCATCCTCTGCCGCTCCTGTCTCCTGTTTCCCCAACAGCAAGAGGACATTGTGAGTGAGGGCGGCAAGGCGAATGCGAGCATGGTGCAGCAGTGCAACTCATATGTGTGCCTTGCTGCTCCCTCCCCTCTTACCCGCATCATTGCCCCCCCCCTCCCCCCTCCACAGCAAGAGGACATGGTGAGTCAGGGCGGCAAGGCGAATGCGAGCATGGTGCAGCAGCGGCTGGACTGGTGTGTGGGCGAGTCAGAGCGCCTCATCATCTCCGTCAGGGACTCGCTATCCCACCCCTCCACCGTTGGGAACAGCACCACCGCCCCCAACACCACCGCCCTCAGCACGACAAGCAGCAGCGGCCCCTCGGTGTTCATCGCAGCAGACGTGCCGTTCAATGAGTCGGCTGCCCCGGCACGGTCCGACTCGTGGACGGAGATGGTGCAGTGGTACGACGGCGACTCCCGCGTGCTGCAATCCTCGTCCGCTGCGCTGCACCGCCTGAGAAGAAACGTGCATGGGACTGTGATGATCGATGAAATCATGCCCCAAGTCAACGAGTTGGACCCAGGTGCGCGATGAAGCAATCATCAGCAACCCCTTGAAAGGTCGCAGTGAAGCATAATTTTCTTGTGTTCCCCAATGGTTCCCATTGGTCTCATCTCAGGCCTCCTTGCCTTCCTCCTCTCCCCTCCCTCTCCTCCCTCCTCTCTCCTCCCTCCTCTCCCCTCCCAACTCTGGGTCTCTGTTGGTCCCAAATCTGCTGCCCTTCCCTCTTTTCTTCCCCACTTCCTTCCTACTTGCAGGTGTGGTGGCAATCCTAGACAAGCTCGTGTGTGCGCATGCAGACGTCTTCCTGGCAGGGTCGTGGGCGTGTGGGGGCGGCAGGGGGTACGAGACGGACATTATGAAGCACCGCCGCCAGGTCGGTTACTCCGATGACACGCTGAAGAGATGGGCGGAAGAGCAGTGAGCAATATGCGCTTAGAATCTGAGGGACTGTGGGGTGGAGGTCGTGGGACTGGGGGGGCGGCAGCGGGTATGAAGCGGACATCATCGAGGGCAGCGGGTATGAAGCGGACATCATTGAGGGCAGCGGGTATGAAGCAGACATCATTGAGGGCAGCGGGTATGAAGCGGACATCATTGAGGGCAGCGGGTATGAAGCGGACATCATTGAGGGCAGCGGGTATGAAGCGGACATCATTGAGGGCAGCGGGTATGAAGCGGACATCATTGAGGGCAGCGGGTATGAAGCGGACATCATTGAGGGCAGCGGGTATGAAGCAGACATCATTGAGGGCAGCGGGTATGAAGCGGACATCATTGAGGGCAGCGGGTATGAAGCAGACATCATTGAGGGCAGCGGGTATGAAGTGGACATCATTGAGGGCAGCGGGTATGAAGCGAACATCATTGAGGGCAGCGGGTATGAAGCGGACATCATTGAGGGCAGCGGGTATGAAGCGGACATCATTGAGGGCAGCGGGTATGAAGCGGACATCATTGAGGCTCCGCCGGCTGTTCATCACTCGCGTGACACGCTCCGGCGGTGGGCGCACGCGCAGTGAACAGCACGCCCCTAGAAGTTGCTGCTCCAATTTTTGCTGTGCTGCTGCTCCAGGGCCTAGAAGTTGGGTTTGCTGTGCTGCTGCAGCGGGGGGGCGATTAGGTTTTGTTGCACTGCTGTGGAGGAGGGGGGTGCGCAAGCCTGCAAGGCAAAAGGTGGAAGCACGAAAAGCTGCGAAATGCTTTCTGCAGCAATTGGCTCAGATAAGGGACCATGCTGCTTGCTTTCAGTCGTGGTGAAGTGATGAAAGCACGGGTGCAAGCTGCTGCTTGTCATGTCATGCTTCTGTAGAGTTCATTCACTGCTTGACTCAAGCAATGCGCCAGGAAGAGGAAGCTCCATTCCATCCCCACTATAGCAAATAAAAGGGGATGTCATATGTCAATTGCTTTAGTGTTATGCAGTGTGTTATAAGACCACTGAGTTTACTGCCAAAATGCAGATTTAACTTGAGAAGCCGTGTTCCTTTGTAGGGCTACAGCTTCCTGGAAAGCAATACATCAATAATGTTGGCAGAATGGCATGTAGGCCAGCGGAAGGGAAGTGGCTTCGATTCGAGCACTGGCTCCCACATTGCATGAACGTATTCAACAGTAGACCCACATGCAACCAGCTCAATGCAGTTTTATCGTTTCATCGACAGTCGTCCACTACGGCGGACAAACACTCGTCTAGGGCAAATGGCCTGCTGAATAAATCGATTTTTAACCAAGAGTTACACGAAGCACCATAGAAATCAAGTCGGGCCATCATGTCATCTCCTACTCCAGGACCCCTGTCGCCGGTATGTGCTCATGCTCATGGCATGGCTGGCAATCACACTCCCCGCATCCCCCCCACTCTGCATGCGCGGGCTCCATGGCCTCGGGCTTGCCACTCGTGGCGACATGCCCATCATTCCCACCCCAGGGGAACCCCCGGTCATACCCCCTGGAGGTCCAAAAGCCCGGGGTGAGCAGCCCCTGGGTGACATGGCCCTGGGGCTACTTCCACTACTACCCTGGAAATGCAGGGCACGGGGGCTAGATGTTCTCATGGCAGCAGAAGCAATCATTGCTCCAATGTCTGGAGCGGTGGGACTAGCCGCGTTGCGAGACGGATAGTAGCTGTTATTCACGCTCGGCGAGCCGCCTATCCTCGGGCTGCTGTTGGTTCGGTACGGCTCGGCAGCCCGTGCCGAGCCTGGCATCCCGTACTGCCTCGGACTGCTGCTGGTGGCTCGGTAAGGCTCGGGAGCCCTTGCCGAGCCTGGCATGCCGTAGTTAGCACTGTTCTGTGACACGGATCCAGCCCCCCCTATCCGGGGACTCGTCCCTCTACTGGAATCAGACCAGGCAGCAGCACCCCCTCCCCCTCCCCCTCCCCCGCCCCAACCACTTGTATACCCGCCAGTCCTCCCGGGAACAGAGGCAGAGGCAGGGTAGCCGCGGGGGCTGGGATCTCGGAAATAAGGGGCGCGGGGGGAGGGCTCTCGGGTGGTGGTGTGGGGGGAGGAGTCGCGAGGGGGGTGGGTGCGGGGAGAGGAGTCGCAGAGGCGGAAGGTGGCGCGGGGGGAGGGGTCGCGGTAGGCGAGCGAGCGCGCACTGGATGGGCTTGGCCTCCTCGCCACCCAGTCGTCCCTCTGATGGGGGCGAGAGAGACGCAAAGGAAGGACGAAAGAGAGGCAGGCAGGGTGGATGAAGTGGTGGGGAGAGGAAGAGTGAGCTGTGTAGAAATGGAGTGGATATTGTGTGGCATGTTCATCCGCGTGGGCTCCATGAGCAGCAGCTGCAGAGCCCATCAGGCGGCATGCTCAACCATTCCCAGTTATTGTCACACTACACCCATTCTCTACCTTTACTTACCCCCTACATCTTGGCCACAACCACACCACACCCACTCATCACCCATTCATACCTGCTTGGGGTCCTCGCTCTCCAGCATGTGCACGATCTGAGGCATCTTGGGGCGCTTGAGCGCGTTGGGCTCCACGCATCGCAGCGCCACGCCCAGGGCATACTCCACGTCGTCTGCCTGCACCGTGCCCTGCAAGCGCGGGTCCAGGACCTCCAGCAGCCGCTCCTCTGCTGCCTTGGCGCGCACCCACCGCACCAAGTCAACCTGATCAGGTGGAGAGGAAAGGGGGGAAAGGGAGGAGGAGGAGGGGCATACTCCACATCATCTGCCTGCGCCGTCGCCTGCAGCCACGGGCCCAAGACTTCTAGAAGGCGCTCCTCTGCTGCCTTGGCCTGCACCCACCGCACCAAGTCAACCTGGTCAGGTGAAGAGGGGAAGGGAGGGAGTGAGGCAGTGAGGCAGTGAGTTACAGAGTGAGTGGGTGATGGTGAGGAGGAGGGGCGTACTCCCCGTCGTCTGCCTGCTCTGTGCCCTCCAGCCGCGGGTAAAGGACCTCAAAGGTCACGCATGTGTGCATGAGACACACCCAAACGCTCACCTGATCTAAAACTGCTGCTTCATCATGAGTACATCGGTCCTGCTTGCGTTCCTGCACGCACTGACATGTGTTCGCAGATCAAAGCGCCAACACCAAATGTGCGCACATTGCATTCACAGGCCCACCTGATTTGACGGAGCTGCTTCATGACCTATTGGGCGTCGATCACATGTTGGTACCTGCACATGCTAATTATTCTCATGTCAGCTCGAATGCCACATCACATCACATGTGCAGGCATGATGCTTCCAAGCCCACCTGGTCCGCGGGTGCTCCATTCCCGATAACCCGCCTCCTGCTCGTGCATTCCTGCACACGGTCAGAAATGAGTTCCAGCAACAAGTGTCTAAAGCTCTATACACACATGCATATGCATGGCATTCCCAAGCCCACCTGGTCGGAGGGCGCCTCATTGTCGATGGGCGGGCGGCCGGAGATGAGTTCGAGCAGCAGCACGCCAAAGCTGTACACGTCACTGCGCTCTGTGAGCAGCCCTGTGTTCATGTACTCGGGCGCCACGTAGCTGTGGGAGGAGTGAGTAGGGAAGGTGGAGATGGGGGAAGGAGGAGGGTGTTTTTCAGTGCTTGAGTAAACAGATCTCGATCTGTGAGCAGCCCCGTGTACTCTGGGCGGCACATAGCTGCAGTGGGAAGGGTGCAGAAGAGGAAGGGTCGCTTGTTACAAGCCAAACGAGTTGATCTGTCAGCGTCAGCGGCCCCTGTGTTCATGTACTTGGAGGTGAGTCACATGTTGCCGAGCAGTTTAAGATTCTGAGGGCAACTCACCCGAAGGTTCCCATGACTCGAGTGCCCACGTGCCCTTGATCCCGCCCCATGGCCTTGGCGAGTGCAAAGTCCCCGAGCTTGGCGTTCCACTGCGCGTCCAGCAGCACGTTGCTGGCCTTCACGTCCCTGTGAACCACCTTCACCGCCATGCCGCCGTGCAGGTGGGCCAAGCTGCAAGTGGTGAAGCGGGGTACGGAGGGGAGAAGGGGAGGAGGTGTATCAGAGTGAGTCGAGCAGCACGTTCGATGCCTTCACATCGCGATGCACCACCTTCACTGCCATGCCGCCGTGCAGGTGGGCCAAGCTGCATAGAGTGAGACCAAGACGGAACGAAGGGGAGCGGGGAAGGGGGTGCGTCACTTGGGATAACCTACCCGCACCAATCAGATAACGTACGGCACTCACCCTTTGGCACACCCTACAACCACATGCATACGCACGCAGCATGCATGGGGTTGATAAGGACACACGTACCCTTTGGCACACCCTACAACCACATGCATACGCACGCAGCATGCATGGGCTTGATAAGGACACACGTACCCTTTGGCACACCCTACAACCACATGCATATGCACGCAGCATGCATGGGCTTGATAAGGACACACGTACCCTTTGGCACACCCTACAACCACATGCATATGCACGCAGCATGCATGGGCTTGATAAGGACACACGTACCCTTTGGCACACCCTACAACCACATGCATATGCACGCAGCATGCATGGGCTTGATAAGGACACACGTACCCTTTGGCACACCCTACAACCACATGCATATGCACGCAGCATGCATGGGCTTGATAAGGACACACGTACCCTTTGGCACACCCTACAACCACATGCATATGCACGCAGCATGCATGGGCTTGATAAGGACACACGTACCCTTTGGCACACCCTACAACCACATGCATATGCACGCAGCATGCATGGGCTTGATAAGGACACACGTACCCTTTGGCACACCCTACAACCACATGCATATGCACGCAGCATGCATGGGCTTGATAAGGACACACGTACCCTTTGGCACACCCTACAACCACATGCATATGCACGCAGCATGCATGGGCTTGATAAGGACACACGTACCCTTTGGCACACCCGATAGCCACGTGCATGCGCATGGGCCAGTCGAGAGTATCCGCGGACCCCCCAGCAGCCGTCTGGTAGAGCCACGCGTCCAGCGACCCGTTGGGCAGGTACTCGTATACCAGCATGCGCTCGTCGCCCTCCACACAGCACCCCAGCACGGCCGCTAGATTCGGGTGCTTGGCCTGGGCTAGCGAGTCGACCTCGAACTTGAACTCTCGAGGGGACTGCTCCAGACTGGGGGAAGGGAGAGGGTGGAGGAAAGGGGGTGGAGAGGGGAAGAGCAGACGGGGAAGGTGACGACAAGGTTGGAAGGGGCTGGGCAGTACTCGAACACGAGCATGCGCCCCTCGCCCTCCACACAGCACCCTAATACGGCCGCCAGGTTGGGGTGCTTGGCTTGAGACAGCGAGTCCACCTCGAACTTGAACTCGCGGGGGGATTGCTCGAGACTGGGGGAAGGGAGGAGGGGAGGTGGAGATGGTTAGAGAGAAGAGACACGGTACAAGGGGGGTATGGTAAGAGGGGAAGATACAGCAGGTGAGATCAACCGTAGACTAAACTTCTTGCTGTTTGCATGCGACTCACTTTCTGTCACTCAGTCGTTTCACTGCCACCGTGGTCCCTTCGGGTAACCGCGCGCGGTAAACAGTGCCGTGCCGCCCGCTGCCCAGCACGCTGCGCTCACTCTGCCGCCCGAAGTCGTTCGTCGCCAGCGCCAGCTCAGCAAGCGTGAAGAACCGCTCCAATCCGTGCCCTGCTGCCTCGTCACCATCTGCTGACGTGTCAGACGTGTCTGACGTGTCTCCATCCCTCGTCCCACCTTCCATTCCCTCTCCCCTGCTGCTGCTTCTGCCAGGGAACGCCCCAGCAGCACCAGCAGGAGCAGCACGAGAGGGCGAGATAGCAGCAGCTGCTGCAGCGACAGAGGCAGCAGACGCGCCCGCCCACCCCCTGGGAATAGCAGGCGATACTGCTGCTGCTGTTCCTGATCCTGCTGCTGCTCCTGCTGCTGCTGTTGCCATTCTAGCGCTCGCCATAGGCTGTTTACCAATGGGGTAATCGCTATCACTGCTGTCACTCGTAACGCTGCTCTCCTCCTCCTCCTCCCCGCGTTCCCCCTCTGCAGCATGCAGGTCTGTCACTCGCAGCGACCTCCCAGCAGGCCCATACACCCCCACGCGCACGCCAGATGACCCCGCACCAGCACCACCACCTACCCCAGATGCACCTGCTCCGGATCCGCCTGGCCCTGCCCCTGGCTTGCGAGGGCTGTCCCCTAGCAACCCCTTACCCGCTGCTGCAGCACTGGTCACAGCCGGCGCTGCTGCAGCCACTCCCCTGTACCCCCCGCTCTCCTCCATCTCGATCTCCTCCGTGTCTGAATCCCTCTCACTGCTCGCTCCAGACGCAGCAGACGCAGCAGACGCAGCAGACGCAGCAGTGGTTGCAGACACCGCTGCTGCTGACTGCCCCCCACCTCGTCCCCTGCTCGCTGCTGCAGCCGCTGCTGCAAACGCAGCAGACATTGCAGCAGGCATTGCAGCCGACGTGGCAGCCGACGTGGCAGCTGACGAGGCAGCAGAAGGCGCAGCAGGCGCAGCTACACGAGTCGCGCCGCTGCCGTTGTGAGCGTGCATTGCGGTCGCGCCCATGAGAGAGCCGCCCTTGCTGGCATCATCCCACCCTCTGTCCCTACTCACCACCGACGACACCACTGAGTGCGACTCTGGCCCCTCACTCTCGCTCTCACTCTCACTCTCACTCTCCATCCCCTTCTCTCTCCCGTCCTCCCTCTCCCTCTCGTCCTCTCTCGCTGCAACAGCATCAGCCACAGCAGCACGCTGCGGCCTGGGCGCGCCCCACCCGCCCAGGGCCTTCACAGGGCTGGGGGTGTTCGCGCTGCTGCGCACCACACTAGCGACGCTCGCACTGCCATAAGCCGTCGCCTTGTCACTCGACTGGGGCAAGTAGGCACTGTCGTAGTAGGTGACAGAAGCACCACCAGAAGCACCACCAGTAGCAGCACCAGCTGCACCAGCGGCAACACTGCCCCTCTCGCTCCCATCCCTTGACACATTCTCCTGCCGGCCAAACGACCCGCTCTGCCCCGGCCCCCGAGCCTGCCCCTGAGGCTGCTCCCAAGCCGCCGGTTTCCGAGCCTGCTGCGCAGGTCCGGGCGACCGCCTCGGCGGCGTCCCACCCTGTCGCTCGTTCCTCTCCGATCGCCCGCGCGACGCTTGCCTGGCTGTAGCCGCCACAGCAGCCGCTCCCGCTGCTGCTGCCGCGGCTCCAGCTACAGCCGCCGAACCCGTCGCTCCCCCTGTGGGCGAGGCGGCAGCGGGAAACACGGCGCGATCGCGCGAGGACGGCAGACAGCCGTTCATGTCGCCGCCCATCTCGACATCGACGGCCAGGGAGCGCGCTCCGGGGGAGCCGATAGACGCGGCGACGGAGGAGGGCGGCTTGGCGCAGGCACGATTTGTCTGCTTCTGCTTCTTTGCCGCCCAGGCGCCGCCCGCGGCGACGGACAGAGCAGGCTCCTTGAGTCCGTCATTCGCCTGATGAGGGCGGCAGTCAGCAGGTGCGGAGTAGGGCGAGAGGGGGAATCGGGGGCGGGGGTGGGGGTGGGGGAAGGTGGGATGAGAAGGGGTGGGGCAAGGGAGTGTTACGAGTGGCAAAGGGCAGGGACTTGAACGCAAACCCTTCAAGGCAGAATGTAAATGGAAAGGGACCTCAAGGGACCTCAAGGGACGTGAAGGGACCAAACGGATTGAGTTTGTACTATGCATTTCACAGACATGGTCCTCACCGCGCCCTTGCCCGTCTCGCCCTTGCGGCTGCCTTGGCAGCAGCAGCACCACACGACCAGCACCGCCGACAGGATGCACGCCAGCCCCCCAGCTGCTCCTATCGCGATATACACAGGCGTCGTTAACCCCCCGCTGCTGCTGCTGCCGCTGCCGCTGCTGTCACTGCTGTTGCTGCTGCTACTGGTGCTCTCCGCAGTAGCCGCGGTGCTGCCGGTCGCGGGTTGCGGCGGGGGCGGCGGAGTCGCCGGCTTGAGCGGGATAAACTCATCCACGGGCGAGGCGGACGGCGCGGAAGCATTGCGCGGAAGGGGAGTGGCGGAGTTAGATGGGGCGGGATGGGCGGAGGGCGGAGGGACGGTGGGAGTCGTTGGTATGGTGGTGGTGGGGGAGGGTGATTTTGGCAGTGTGGGTTTGTTGGGCGGTAGTTTGGGGTTGACTGGAAGCCTGGGCTTGGGAGCGACTTTGGGAGTGGGAACAACGGGAATTTTGGGCGTTGGTACAACGGGAGTCCTGGGCGTGGGTGTAACGGGAATCTTGGGCTTGGGTACAACGGGGGTTTTGGGCGGCAGCTTCGGCAGCGGGGCCTTGCGCGGGACGTAAGGGGGATCGCCAGGACAGACCTGGACAGTCACGCAGGCAAGGGGTCAAGTGAGCACAAGAGAATTCTCGACTTTATCGCCTCTCCTGACGTTCCTAAAGTTCATCGCATGCAAGGGACAGTAGTTTCTAGTAGATTACCCGACTCGTATAGCATCCCCACTCCCAATCGACTCATTGGGCGTCTGTCGAATCGGGTACCGCCGCAGAAACCCAGGCCGTTTTGGAGAGAAGCTGCACCTTTCAGTGGGTAAAAAAGAGCATGCTCGCGGCAGTGAAAGCCAGTTCAGCACCCTTTTGGTCCAGCATCCTAGGAGACTCACCGTTAGGCCGGCGAATCCGGTACCGCAGAAGCCTGCGGCATTGGCGGAGAAGTTGTACCGCGCGGTGCGGCTGGCGCGCAGGTAGTCGAGCCCCTTGGGCACGCGCCCCGTGAGGCTGTTCTCCGCCAGCGACACGTCCTGCAGCAGCTTCAGATTGCCGACGGCGTCAGGAATCGAACCCGCGAGCTCGTTGTTGTTGAGCTCCAGCACCTTGAGCTGCACGGGCGCACCAGGGGATTGAATTGGAGACATTGGAGACATTGGGGGCATTGAGGGCAGTGTCGCAGGCCATTGTCGCAGGGCATTGTCGCAGGGCATCGTCGCAAGGCATTGATACATGGGTGCACTGTTACGCGGGGCAATGGTGGCAGAGCAGGTGAAGAAGTGATCGCCACGCCGAAGTAAGTAACTGCAGGTCATGTTGGCATGGTGAAGGAGTCATGCACGCAAGAGGCCACACGGGGGATCGGACCCAACAGAAAATAAGGGTGCGGGATTTAGACGACCCAAATATCATGACAGGACACGGAAAGGGGGGGGGGGAGAAGGGCGTGCCTTGGTGAGGAGGCCGAGGGAGGCGGGAATGGAGTCGGTGAGCTGGTTGCGGCTGAGGTCCAGCGAGAAGAGGTTTGTCACCAGGTTCAGCTCCGGGATTCGCCCGCCCAGCCGGTTGCAGCACAGGTTCAGCACCTGGCCGAAGAGCACACACGACGGAAATTGTGAGAGAGGGGGTTTTGTTGATGGAAATTACGGTCATAGAGAGGTCTGAAAAGACTAGGAGGTTTCGGCCTGGAGATAAAAGATGTAGTTCATGCCGTCTGGCATTGAGATGCTCCAAACCTCGACACCTGGGAATGGCATTCACCCCAAAGTCTTCTCGGGTCAGAATGGCGGGGAAATTTACACCTGGAGACTAAGATTGTTGTTTCTGCGGCTTGGAAATGACACGCCTCAAAGCTCGACGTCATGACGTCGCAAAACGGTGAGGCTTGCACCTGGAGGCTGAGGATGTTGTTGATGCTGTCGGGGATCACTCCGCTGAGCGCGTTCCGTCCCAGGTCGAGGAACGTGAGCGTCGCGATCTGGTTGATCTCCACGGGAATCTCGCCCGCCAGGCCCAGGCCGTTCAACTGCAGCGCGACCGGCTGGTGGTGGCCGTCGCACGTGACTCCCTGCGCGGAATAGAGTGATTGTATTGAAGAGCAGACGACATTGTTGTGAAAATAACAACAAAGAATGCGGTGGAAGACGGTGCAGTTGGGTGTTAGAAGCGACGGTTGATTGTAGGTGACAGCAGTTGATGCAAAAGGACCATTCACTATCGATAGTTATCCATGCAATGACAAGCGGTATTAGCTTCCACGAAGCTTCACGCACTTGAAAAGGAGGGCTTCCGCAAGGATCGCTGTTGGTCCGCCATGAATTGAGTTTCTGCATTCCGGGGTCTAGCTTCGTCGCTATGCTGCTCCAGTCCGTCGCGACGACGCGCGTCGCTAACCCCGCTACGACTAAAGCGAGCAAGTACGAATGTATTACTTTCTTCATCCCCTTTCTGAGTTTTAACTTTCCAATCTCTACCATGGTGAACAAGAAGCTGCAATCCTGCCGAGCCCAGATAGAATGAAGAGAATAATTGACTACTGATAGTTCCGATTTTTTTCTGAGATTAATTATCGCAAGAGAGAAGGAAAATCGCCTCCTCGAGCACCAACGGCTCCTCCACTAAGCCATGGCAGTGAAGGAGTAAGAGCGGGGAAAGGGCTTTCGTGAAAGAGTACTAAGCCGTCTAGTACAGGAGGAAATCTGCTCTAGAAGACTGCGCAGCTGTTCAATACTGCTTCTGTGAAATCTCCGCGGTGGCACTTGGGAGCTACTCTGGATATCTGTTCCCCCACCCAGTTGATCCACGCGACTTGTCCGTCTGTTGAAGGCTACCAGCGCCCTCTCATCTATCTTGACTTCGCCCTTCTCCTTCCCCTGCACTCAGAAATGGCCCTCAAACGCCAATACGTATCCTAGTCAATGCATGCTAGTGTAAGCATGTACGAAATGAAGCTATGACCAGCGAGGATTGATGGGATTGACGACTTCCGTTTGCTCCTCTCGGAGCCGCGCGAAAATCGAGAACGTCAGGGGCGGCGGTGACGGGAATGACTCGCTGCTCCGGCTACTGCTGATTGGATTGTCTAGCAAAGGGGATGGTGGCAAACGCAGTGTTTCAATTCGGTTCGAGCTGGTGGTGGGAATGAGTGCTGTGCTTTGCGGCGATCGATCGGGACCAACTTCAACAATGCCGAAGTGCTTACGGCCAGGCATGGAGGCCCGTTGGGCTCAGGGAGAAATGGGAAATTCGATTCGAAGCGCACATGTCTGGGAGACATCCCCGTCGCAGGATGTCAACGAGGCTCGCCAGATGCGGTGGTTTCTTCGTCAACAGGCTGCGCGGCTGTCGCGAAAGCTGACTGTCAAAGCGCTTATGACAGTGGGGGCCGAATTATCAGGGGCGGGGGAAATGTCCCGCACGATGAAATCAAGGTGAGGACAGACAGGTCTGCGATTCGGAGAGTTGCCGTTGAATATCCGTTATAAGGCCCATCGATCGAGACAATTGTAGCACCCATCTAGCTCCTGCCAACAACTCCAGATGCCCAATAAAACCGTAAATCTAGTATAATAATGCCAGAGCCTAATTTGATGAGAAATTTCCATAATTAAAAATTATTAAGGATTAAATTCACATTATAAGCTAGCAAAGATCACTTGCAAGTGCACGACAGAATGCTAATAGAAATGGAAAAAAACAAGCATTTTTATGCATTCCATAAACATGTCCACTCTGGAACAATGGACTCCAATAACGCGTCAGTTCTTCAGCCCCTAGAGAGTCTCCACAGCACAACTCCTACCCTCCAAAAGCACGAACTACCTGCCCTGCATTTCGCCAGGACTGGTGAACTAATCGAATCTTCAGCATCATATTCTACGCGCCGTCGTCGCTGTTGCTTCTTGATAGCCATTTCGCCAACATGCCGCTCCCGCTGCAGCAGCACGAACGGCAGCAGCGCGCCGCGGAGCAGGTTTTAGACCGGCGATTACGACCAGTGTACGACATGGTCGACTCGCGGAACCTGAAAGGCGCATTGAAGCTCGTTAATACTCTTGTTCAGAAAGCGGGAAGTGACCAGGCTCCGATTAAGGTGCGCTGCTAGTAGTTACCAGATTCAGGTGCCTTTTACTAAAATAACGAGAGTATGTTGCGACTATAGGGCCTGCCAGCAGCTTTTGTCGCTACTTGAGTTCTTAACGTGGTAGTTAGAAGCGATGCGGGACAGCCTGCAAGGTGCTACTGCTCGTGTGCTACTAGGCTTGATCTGAAGAGCAACGAAGCACACAGCTATAAGTGAATCCTTGACGCACGCTGTTCATGGCGATTATGGCGCTTCGCCGATCCTATCAGCAGAGCGCATCATCGTTCGCGGGACTGTTTTCCCTTTACAGATAGCTGCATTGGCCGTTTAATCGGCTTGGATTGGAGGAATGCAGGGCTTGTTAATAACGAGCAGTCATGGCTTCGGGAACTTGAGCAAACCACTAGTTGACTCCTTCGATGGTTAGGGTTCCGTGAGAACCCCAAGGTTTCCTTCTTCGAAAAGAGGCTGCGGAAGTGCAAGGCGAAGGTCCGTCAACCTGCGAGCTGATGCTAAACCCGAAACCCCCTCCTTCTCTTTCGACGCCCCCTTGCTTCCCTCCTCCCTCCCGTTCCCCTCTATCCTCCCCATACCCAGTTTCACACCCCCCCCTTCTCTCCCTCCCCTCTCTCCCCCACACCCACCCTCTCCACCATCCCCACACCCACCCCCTCCACCTGCCCCCACCCACCCCAACCCCGCTCTTCCCCCCTCCCCTCCCCTGCGCAGCTGGTGAAGGCGCTGGTGCTGTACCGCATGGGGCGGGAGGCGGAGGCGCTGGAGGTGTGCGGGGAGGTGCGGGAGGAGGGGCGCGCGGGGCAGCTGTCAGAGCGCACGCTCATGGACCTCATGGACCTCATGGCCAGAATGGGCAAAGGTGGGCGGGCGGCATGCTCTGTCGTTTAGTTGGAGAGAGAGGAGCAGCTCTCAAAGCGCGCGCTCATGGACCTCATGGATCTCATGGCCAGAATGGGCAAAGGTGGGCGGCATGTTCTGTCGTTTAGTTTGCAGCTCCTACTCATGTGGTAGTCAAATGGGAGAGCTGACCTGACTGTGAGAGTGGGCGCTCATGAACCTCCCTTTGCATTCCCCTGCCTCATTCCCCCCTCCCTCCACCCGCTTGCGATCCTCTCTCCCTCTCTTGCATCGCACGAGGCAGCAGTGGCGTTTGAGGCAGCGGCAGCGCAGCAGAGAGACAGCATGGATGTCACGGCAGAGTGACAGCATGGAGGTCCCGAGGCTGCTGGTGTGGGCGGCGCTCTCGATACACCTTGTATACCTCCTTAATCCGCTCCCTCCTTGACCCCCCCTCTTCCTACTCCCCTATCGCAGCCCACGAGGCAGCGGCACGACACCACGCAGATAATATCAAACTGGAATGTCTGATCACAAACTGCAGGAGCTGCTGGGGGGGTGGGCACTGAAGAGACCCCCCTGTCCTTGTATCCCCTCTCTCGCCCCCACGTCCTCTCTCGCCCTCACGTCCTATCTCAGCCCACGAGGCAGTAGACGCGTTTGAGGCGGCAGCAGCGCAGCAACCTGATAACATGAAGGTGCAGGAGCTGCTGGTGGGTGCAGCGCTGAAGAGTCGAGGCTACGTGAAGATGCAGCAGGCCGCCATGCGCATGCACAAGAAGCGCCCAAAAGACGACAGATACCTTCTCTGGGCCGTCTGTAGCATGGACCTGCAGGTGCGTCGGTGTTGTGGTTGTAACATGGGCTTGCAGGTGCGTGGTTGCCCCGGCTGTAGCAGGCTGCCATGTGCCTGCACAAGAAGAGCCTGCAGGATGACAGATAATTGCTCTGGGCAGTCTGTAGCATGGACCTGCAGGTGCGTCGGTGTTGTGGTTGTAACATGGGCTTGCAGGTGCGTGGTTGCCCCGGCTATAGCAGGCTGCCATGTGCCTGCACAAGAAGAGCCTGCAGGATGACAGATAATTGCTCTGGGCCGTCTGTAGCATGGACCTGCAGGTGCGTCGGTGTTGTGGTTGTAACATGGGCTTGCAGGTGCGTGGTTGCCCCGGCTGTAGCAGGCTGCCATGTGCCTGCACAAGAAGAGCCTGCAGGATGACAGATAATTGCTCTGGGCCGTCTGTAGCATGGACCTGCAGGTGCGTCGGTGTTGTGGTTGTAACATGGGCTTGCAGGTGCGTGGTTGCCCCGGCTATAGCAGGCTGCCATGTGCCTGCACAAGGAGAGCCTGCCATGTGCCTGCACAAGAAGAGCCTGCCATGTGCCTGCACAAGGAGAGCCTGCCATGTGCCTGCACAAGAAGAGCCTGCCATGTGCCTGCACAAGAAGAGCCTGCCATGTGCCTGCACAAGAAGAGCCTGCAGGATGACAGATAATTGCTCTGGGCCGTCTGTAGCATGGACCTGGAGTTGAGTTTCCGTCCTAGCTGTAGCAGCAGGCTGCCATGCTCCTGTGCAAGAAGAGGCCAGAAAACGACAGATAACTTCTCTGTCAGTGGCATGGTCCTGCAGGTGTGTGACTGTATCGGCTGTCGATATGGCTGTAGCATAAACCCGTATGTGCAGCTGAGTTGCCCTTCCCTTCTTTCCTCACTCTCTTGTTTCCTCTCCCCCTCTCCCCGCCCCACCATCCCTCCTCCTCCTCCCATGTCCTCTTTCCTTTCAGCCCCTCTCTCTCGTTCCCAAGTCTCCCCCCTCACCTCTCTCTTGCGCTGCTCTCTCTCAGACCATTCCTCTCTTCCCTCCTCTCCTCCACCATCTCTCTCCCTTCACCACTTTTTCTCCTCCCAACCGTCTCTCTCTCCTCATCCCGTTCTCCTTCCACCCACCGCTCTCTCGCACCCCTTCAGGCATTCGAGAAGGAGAGTCACACACTCTGCCACCTTCCCTCATCCGTCTCCGCCTTCCACCTGCCAGCTCCACCTGCCGCCACCTCAGCACCAGCTGCCACGTCAGCAGCTGACGTGGCGAAGCAGCGGCGGCAGCTGCTCCAGCTGGCGGAGGCGATGATCCAACGGAAGGCACAGAGCGAGGGAGGGCTGAAATCGGCTGAAGGTGAGACGGCACACTCCGGTTTAGGGTTGTTCTGGGCTGAGGCAACGCTTGTGCACTACATGCATGGCTGCAAGGCCTTCTGTTCTACCTGCTGCACTGTAGCTTCTACAGCCAGCAGCAGCACTGACTGATTGGGAGAGGACAGCACAAGGCGAATGCAGGGTGAGGTGAGCTGACGCTCTGGTAGGGTAACTCGTGATGCGCCTAAAAACGTGTCTCTTTTTCCTTTTCCCCCTTCCTGCCACTTGGGCTATATGTGGAGTGGATATAATGAACCGATGGATGGGGCACAGGGAAGTTTGTGGTGTGGCGAGGATGCTGCAAGGCCTGAGAAAGCGGCCCGTGAAGTGCCTCAAGATTCTGACGCACATCAGAGTGCGCGGTTTTCATGTCCTCCCTCCCTCGTCTCCCCCTCCCAGCACTTCGCCTGTACGTGGATTTGCTGCGGCGGCAGGGCAAGGGGGAGGAGGTGGTGAGAGCGCTGCAAGGGCCCATGGCCGCCCTCTTCACAATCAAATCAGATCTGCTGCAGATCCGGGTGGGTGCTGATTGGCTGGTATATATGTGAGTGCGTGTGTGGGTGAGCGGCTGCTTTATCTGGTTGGTGTGTGTGGACATGCCTGGCTGACAGTGCATAGTCTCATGTTGAATGTATGGGCCTTCGGTGCTTTTGCTCTGCTGTTGCGTATTCTACCCACCCCACCACCCACGCACATCCACACACATACCCAACCCAACCCGCACACATGTTCACGTTTCACATCCCCCCCCACACTCACTCGCACACTCTCGTCTGACTTACACACACCACTCCCACACATGCGGAGCGGTGTCATGTGAACAACCCACCCCTCACAGGGCGAGGTGCAGCAGGACTTGGCGCGCTTCACTGATGCTGCTGCCACCTTCAAGGAGCTGCTGGGCGTGAGGTTAGTGAGTTGGCTGAGCGAGTGAGGGAGTGCGGTGGGCGAGTGAGGGAGTGCGGTGGGCGAGTGAGGGAGTGCGGTGGGCGAGTGAGGGAGTGCGGTGGGCGAGTGAGGGAGTGAGGTGAGGGAGTGAGGTCCTCACCTTGCCAACTCTCCTTTCTCGTAACATCATCTCTTCTTTTCTCTCTGGGAACTCCTTTCTTCATTTTCCTGCGTACCTGTTTCCCACCCTTCTCCACTCCTCTTTGTCCCTTGCCGCCCATGCAGTGATGATGACTGGGTGGCATCCTTGTCCTATCTGGACTCACTCTTGCTAGCCCACCTACATTCATCCCTCTCCACTCCTCTCAGCGAGGCTGTAGAAGCAGTCACTGCTGACGCCGCCACAGCTGCTTCTGCTGCTGCTACAGCCCCTGCCACAGCTGCTACAGCTGGTAACAAACCCGCAGCTGCTACCTCAGGAGGAGGTTCGGGAGGAGGTTCGGCGGAGGGTGGGAGGGAGTGGGCCACAAGGGAGAGCCGGCTGCTGCAGGGGCTGCTGCTGCGGATGCTGCAGGGGGGAGGGGCTTGGGGGGGAGGGGGAGAGGGCGGAGGAGGGGAGATGGTGGTGGGGGGAGTGAGGGAGGGGTGGAGGGGGGCGAGTGGGAGAGCGTGTGTGCGGTCGGGGCGGCAGCAACGGCCCTGGATGTGGCGTGCAGGGCACCGGGGAACAAGAAGATTCAAGAGGAGGTGAGGGAACGATTGGCATTGTGTGGGGTATGGGGCATGGAGTATGGGGAATGATGGAGCATGTATTATGGGCATGGGCATGGGTTTTGGGGCATGGGTAATGGGGCATGGGGAAGGGGGTATGGGACATGGGGCATGGGGCATGGGGCATGGGGCATGGGGCATGGGGCATGGGGCATGGGGCATGGGCTGGGGCATGGGGCGTGCGGCATAGGGCAGGGGGCATGGGGTATGGATCATGGGGAGTGGGGCACATGGTGTTGAGGCCGCTTAGAGCACCTCCCCAGAGCGAGCACCTCCCTAGAGCGAGCACCTCCCTAGAGCGAGCACCTCTGTCTCTATCTCTCCAGAGCTTCCCTCTTCTTCCAACCCCCCACCTTCTCCTCGCCCATCCTTCTCCTCCCCCCACCTTCTCCTCGCCCATCCTTCTCCTCCCCCCACCTTCTCCTCGCCCCACTTTCTCTTCTCTCCTCCCCCTCTCCCCCCCACCCTCTCCTTGCCCCTCTCCTCTCCCCACCTTCTCCTCACCCCACCTTCTCCTCACCCCACCTTCTCCTCACCCCACCTTCTCCTCGCCCCACCTTCTCCTCACCCCACCTTCTCCCCCCCACCTTCTCCTTGCCCCACCTTCTCCTCCCCCCACCTTCTCCTCCCACCTTCTCCTCCCACCTTCTCCTCCCCCCACCTTCTCCCCCCCCCACCTTCTCCTCCCCCCACCTTCTCCTCACCCCACCTTCTCCTCACCCTACCTTCTCCTCCCCCAGCGGCGGCCCAATGCACGTCGGGCAGAGTGCTCCAGTCGGGCAGAGTGCTCCAGTCAGGCAGAGTGCTCCAGTCGGGCAGACTGCTCCAGTCGGGCAGATTGCTCTAGTCTGGCAGAGTGCTCCAGTCGGGCAGAGTCCTTCAGTTGGGCAGAGTGCTCCAGTCGAGCAGATTGCTCCAGTCTGGCAGAGTGCTCTAGTCTGTCAGAGTTTATGGGAGGTTGGCGACATAAACTCGACGCCCAGTCTGCAGCACTCTGCTCGACTGGAGCACTCTGCCAGACTGGAGCACTCTGCCAGACTGGAGCACTCTGCCAGACTGGAGCAGTCTGCAGGACTGAAGCAATCTGCTCGACTGGAGCACTCTGCCAGACTAGAGCAATCTGCCCGACTGGAGCAGTCTGCCCGACTGGAGCACTCTGCCCGACCGGAGCACTCTGCTCGACTGAAGCACTTTGCTCGACTAGAGCACTCAGCCCGACTGGAGCACTCTGCTCGACGTGCTCACGGGCAGGCGGCCTCCTGGCGCAGCGCTCAGGGGCAGGCGGCCTCTCAACCTGCTCCCGCCCTCCCCCACCTCCTGACACTCTCACTGTTTGCACCGCATCATCCTTGTCTATCCCCCCTCTTCACGCCCCCGCTCCCCCCAGCTCTTCCCAATTCTCTCAGAAGCCGACCGGTCTTCCAGGGCCTTAGGGACAGCTTTTTCACCTCCCTCCCGCCCTATCCTTACCTCCCAAGCCATCTCCCTGTTTCTCCATTTATGTATGCAATACCTCCCCCCCCCCCCCCCCCCAGCTCTTCCGGATTCTCTCAGAAGCCGACCGGTTCTTCCAGGGCCTCAGAGACAACCTCCTGGCACAGCAGCACTCCGCACACCAGCGGCTCTCGGGCAGCGGGCAGCCGGAAATGAAAAGAGTGGAGGAGGGCAGCGAGCAGGAGGGGGCCGAGGGAGCACTGGCAGGGGCAGAGAATCCAAGCAGTGCCAGCAACGGCAGCAGCAGCAGCAGCAGCAGCAATGCATTAGCCGTGAGAGCGGCAGCGAGCAGCAGCAAGGGTGCTTCTTCTCCGCGCGTGGCGAGGGGGCCGTTTCTGATGCGCCTGGAGGTGCTGCTGAGACGCATGCGCCTGCTGCAGTGGTTCGGGTGCGGCCCGGGGGAGGTGCTATCTGCTGCTGCCGACCTGGAGAGCGCCCTGCTGGGGTACTTCGACAGGTGGGTGGTGTGCAGTGCGGTTCATTAGTGCTTTAGAATGGTATAACTGGATGACATGAATGAAGTGGTGTAGTTTAAGTGAGGCGCTATCTGTTGCTTGCTGCCGACCTGGGGAGGTGTTATCTACTTCACTCTCAAAAAACCTCTTATCCTCCTATCTGTGGCGCTTCAAAAGACCTACCATTTTTTATTTTGCCCAATCATCACCTCCTTATCTTCACTTCTCTCTGCCCTCCTTCCCACGTCCCTTTCTTCCCCTGACCCTCTCTCTCAGGCACGGCGACATGATCAGCTTTGCCTCGGACGTCCAAGCCTATGCTCTGGCCCTGCCCAAGGACGTCCAGGCTAGGCTCGGGGCCGAGCTCCGAAGCAAGCTGACAGGCTTGGAACCCCTTGGGGGAGAGGGAGGATTCGGAACTGGAGAGAGCAGGGAGGAGCAGAGGGAGGGGGCAGGGAAGGAGGGTGGGAAAGAAGAGGGGGAGAAAGAGGGGGGAAATGAGGAGAGTGAGAGTGAGAGGAGGGAGGGGGAGGGGACGAGGGAGATGAGGAGGAGGCTGCGGAGGATAATAAGTGTGGAGCAGGTGGATGGGGCCATGGGTAACTGGCGCACACTGGATGACCATGGTGAGTGCGTGCATGTGGTGATGTGATGATGGTGATGATGTTGTTTTGTGGCTGATGGTGGTGCATGGCTATGCTATGAATAACTGTGGTGTGGAGCAGGTGGAAGGGGGCTGTGGTGGATACTGTATCACCATGGTGAGTGCGTGCATGAGTGCTCAATTCCCCATCCCAATTCCCATCCGCTCAATCCCCTTCCCCATCCCCTTCGCCATCCCCTTTCCCATCCCCTTCCCCATCCCCTTCCCCATCCCCTTCCGCATCCCCTTCCCCATCCCCTTCCCCATCCCCTTCCCCATCCCCTTCCCCATCCCCTTCCGCATCCCCTTCCCCGTCCCCACCCCTCGTCGTCACGTCACCCACCCCTCGTCGTCACCCACCCCTCGTCGTCACCCACCCCTCGTCGTCACCCACCCCTGGCTGTCCATCCCCTCCAGCTCTCGTTGCTCGCGCACAGCACTGTGTGCGTCTCTTCCTGGAAGCTTCCCCGCTCTCTGCCGCCCTGGACCCCCGGGAGAAGGGCCATGCAGACGAGCTGCTGCCCGTTGCTGCCTCCTGCCTCGTGGAGGTGAGTGGTTTAGTGCGGTGGAATGCAGTATGTTGCAGCTGCAAAGTGGTTCGATATGGTGTAATCTGGCCGCAGTGCATGAATCTGATCTTTAATGACATGCTCTGGCCTGGACACCCAGGAGAAGGACGAGCTGCTGCCCGCTGCTGCCTCGTACCCTGGTGGAGTTTGAGCAATGCAGTGCGGTGCAAAGTGGTGCAGCATTCCAATTCCCTTGCTTCCCCATTCAGGTATACTGCCAGCACCAGCCAGCGGCTGTGGGGTACTATAGAGAGCTTTTTATTCCCTTTTCCCTTCCCCACATCCCCCTACTGCTGGCATACCGCCAGCGCGTGGGGTATTTGACCGAGCCTATTTTTTCTTCCCCCTGCCGGCACTCCCCCTTCCTGGCAGGTGTACCGGCGGCGCCAGCCAGAAGGCGTGGGCTATCTCATTGAGGCAGTCCTGGTCCTCACCTACGGCGTCTCCCTGCGCCCGTACGTTGCTCTGCTCCCGCAATGTTTTTTGCTATTTGGCGTTCCTTGGGTTGGGCCCAGTGAAGTAGGTAGCTTTGATTCCACCCATGTCCGTGTTTGCTATCTCTTAAAGCGAGTGCGGTATCGTGACCCTCGTCGTTTCGCCCCCCTCTCACCAGCAGCGTCAGCCCTCTGTTCATAACCGTGCTTGTGAACCTGTGTGATGTGATGTCCTCTCTCCCTCACTCCCTTGTTCCTCTTTCCCTTTCACTTCTCTCCCCCGTCCCCCCTGCCCCACCTGCAGCTTCAGCCCGCTGTTCAACACCATGCTCGTCAGCCTCTATGGCCTCCTGGGGTGCCCCTCCCTCGCCCTCGCCAGGTAACCACATCTAGTACCCATGTCTGGTAACCACATCTATTTACCACATCTAGTAACCACATCTAGTAACCACATCTAGTAACCACATCTGGTAACCACATCCTCCCTGTAACAACACCTGTGCTTGTCCACTCTGGTGGCTGTGTGTCCACCACACCACCATGCTCGTTTTCCCCTTCCGTCACCACTTTCCTGTGTCTGAACAAGTACTGATTTATGTCCAACCCCCTCTCTCTCACCATGCGAACTCATCTTGTCCACTCTGCCTTCTCTCTTTTTCGCATCCCACCAGCTTCCACCGTCTCGACGCCAAGCACATACAGCTGGACACGCTGACTCACCTCATGCTGCCTCACTTGCCATGCTAACTCACTCATCTCATCTGCTCTTAACCCGAAACCCTCTGCTTCCCCAAATCCTTTCAGCTTTCAGCGGTTGAACGCCAAGCACATACAGCTGGACACGCTGACTCACCTCGTGCTGCCGTACCTGCACCAATCGGCTTCGCTCGCTGACGTCAGCGCGCTGCACGCTGATATGCGCGCCTTTTTCAATGACCACGTGTGGAGGGACAACGCTGACGTCAGCATGGAGGCTCTGAGGAAAGGCACCTTTTCAAAGGTAGTCGTTGCGGTGATGATTGCTGTATTTCTTGTGGGGATGGTTGCGGTGATGGTTGCGGTGATGGGTGCAGTGATGGTTGCAGTGATGGTTGCAGTGATGGTTGCAGTGATGGTTGCAGTGATGGTTGCGGTGATGGTTGCAGTGATGGTTGCAGTGATGGTTGCAGTGATGGTTGCAGTGATGGTTGCAGTGATGGTTTCAGCAATATCATAGGCAACCCTTCTCCTTTCCTCCATTCCAACTACCATTGTCCCTCCGGGCTCCCGCCTTCCCTCTTACTCCTACCCCTTTCCCCATGTTTGATCCGTGCCGTGAGTTAGCTGCCTTACATCATCACCTCCACCACCTCCTCTTATTCCTAGTTTATCCCCACGTCCCCCTTCCCCTTCCCCCTTCCACCTCCCCCTTCCCCCTCCATCCGTCTCCCTACCCTTCTCCCCCCGTGTCAGATCCGTGAGTTCGCTGCCTTCCGCCATCACATGCAGCACTCCCACCAGCGCCTCCTCCTATTCGTATTATATTCCCACGACCCCCTTCCCCAATCCCCCCTCCCCCTGTCCCCCTTCCCCCGTGTCAGATACGTGAGTTCGCAGCCTTCCACCATCGCCTAAGTCACTCCCATCAGCGCCTCCTCCTCTCGCCCAACTCCCTCCTCCTCTCCCTCCCCCTCGCCCTCCTCCCCCCCTCCTCCCACCCCTCAGCCCTCACCTCATCTATCCAAACCACTCAATCCGCCTCGGCAGCCCCGAACCAGGCAAACTCTTCCGAGCCTGTGGTGCAGGTCCGGGAGTTGTTGCGGGCAGCAGGAGGCGGGCGGGAGGAGGTTCGGCAGGTGGTTGCGGAACAGCTGGGTTTGGTTCGGCTGAACGAGGACTGGGGTGTGAGGCCCTGGTGGGACCCGCTGCCTCTTCCCTTCACCAGTCTGCTTGGGTCGTGTGCAAAAGGTATTTCCGTGCCCTTACATCCTCCATTCTACCCTTCCTTCCTTCCACACTCCCTCCTCCTTTACGGTGAATCCAACCAACATGGGGGTGTGCGCCTGTGGTGTACGCCATTAACGACTGGTACGTGTATTGCTGCTCGCCCCTGCCTCTTCTCTTCACTAGTCTGCGTGGGCGGTGTTGGGAGTAATCGTTGAAGGGAGAGAGAGTGGGAAGGAAGAGCGTTGTTGAATGGAAGCTGGAGACTAGAACGGAGGTTGCAGCGCTTATGAGACCTGTCCTTCGTACGTTCTCTCACCCTTTTCACTCTCGCACTCTCTCTCCTCCTTCTCGACCCAATCTGCAGGCCAATCACCGCCTGACAGCTGGACCAGCCTCGAGTCGCCACACAAGGTGAGCGAGCAGCCGTGCTTGGGAGCATGATGCACCTTGTTGCCATCGCTGGGAGCACGATGCACCTTGTTGTCATCGCTGGGAGCACGATGCACCTTGTTGTCATCGCTGGGAGCACGATGCACCTTGTTGCCATCGCTGCTTCGGGCTACCATCTCCCCTACATGCTGCAACAATCCTGATTCCATACAGGAAATTTCGAGACATCTCTCTCTAGGCTCTGCAAGGCTGCCCTCA